AATTGCCAGGAGCATTTCAAAGTAACGAGGGGAGAAGGGAGAAAATGTATTTGCCTTTGAGGTAGCATTGATCTGAGGAGTGAAAAAGAGGAGTGTTAAGTTAATGGCTTCACAGAGAGGAACAGGGCCAATGGAGAACTGTATGGTTTAGCCACATGAAGAGATCCAACAACACAAGGAGAAGGAAGGCACAGCTGAGTCGCCGACCGTGCCGCTGCATACATAGAATAGGCTAGTTAGTGAGATTCTAATGGACTAGATCTTCTTCTGCCTCACAAAGCTTGCTAATGTCATAAAGCGGCTTGCCTTGCCTTGCTCTATCGACGTTCTGCTCATTCAATTTGGCTGCTTATAAAACTCAGTTATGCATATTTATTTGTATGTTTTTTCAACTTTGCATCGATGTGTGGCATGATGAAGAAGCATTTGCTGGGCTCATTTAAAGAATTGTATCGTGACTGACACACAGTGAGGCTTTGGGGATTGGGCTTTATACTCTTTGAAGCAGAGAAACAAAGGGAATATTTACCCGGATCACGTGGGTTGGTCCTTGCCACTTAGAGGATCAGGAGGAATTAACACATCAGCAAGGAGAGTCATGCAGACCAGAGTCAAGGGTGTGTGTGTGTGTTCCTGTGTGTGTGTTTGGGTCAGAGGTCAAAGTGCCAGGCGGATGGTTGGAACAACTCCATTTGTTCCTCTTGTTGCCATGGCACAAGACTTCATGAGTCGGACTTCTTGATTGGTCGATTGGAATATGTGACTTGTTCAAGTGGACATTTAAAGAACTGGAAGAGAGGGTGTTGATAGCTGTACAGTATATTTTGTGCTAGCTACCTTTTCTCTCTCAAAGTGGCTCCATGGTCTGGTGTCCCTACCGTAAGTATGAGGTGGCCCCAGTCTTCAGTTTCAGCTCTCGTAAATCAGATCACATAGATCAAAATCTTGTCTGGCTGGCAGTGGCAGGGCTTTTTCTGTCTCTTGATCTTTAAGAACAACTGTCAATAACGCACACAGCAATGCCACAGCGATGCTTGATGTGGTAATTGCCCTAGTCCAGTAAATACAGGTAATAAGTACACATTAGGAAGAAAACAACCTACACTTTTTCAGTTATTTACTTCATCCACTGTGTGATGGCAGTGGTTTCTGCCTTTTTCTGCCAGAAAGACCCATGAGTTATTCCAAATTGTACTAAAGGCAAAGCCAGGAAACCCCTGTCTTCCCAGGGCAGTATGAAAGGGCTATTTGACCTGAGGGTTCGCTTAGACCCATTACCGGAGCTACTAGCTACACAGAACTGATGTTCACATCAGCGCGTCACATAGGCTCAAGCAGAGCAGGATGAGACTGCAAAAAACAAGCTAATGTAATATTCATGTCTTCTGGGTTTTGTTGTTTCTCTCTATCATTAGCTACTGGTCTGGCGTAGGGATCTTCAAAAAAGCAACACCAAAATTGTGGCTCACAAGTACTGCTGTTTACTCCCTTTAAGTGTGAGATATTCAGAGAGGGAGGGAGACTGTCTGACTGACTGGAAATGGCTAAGCTTAAAACGCACGGATGGATGCACACACACACATTTACACTCGCACACACACACACTCTCACATACACACACACATTCACACAGACACACACCCACACACACACTCACTCACCCTCACACCATTCGTTATTCATGGCATTGCAGTGTAGGCTGGTGGTGCGTTGGTGTGTCGTGTCCAACAGTTTGGTACAGGCTGTTTTGGCCTCTTATTGCAGTCCTCATAGGTGGCCAAATTCACACTTTGAAAAACACTGTGTGAATTAAGGGAATGTAACACCACCACGAAGTTTGGAGGATTCGGACATTTGGAAGTTCATTGAGACTTTGCTTAATTATTGAATCTATTATTACGGCGACGTAGTGGCACTTAGTATTTGACATTTTCATTCAGTTGGTCGACTATTTAATCAACCCTTTCATTTCAACAATCATTGATTTCAAAACAAACCTTGAATTGTCGTAAAGACTTAAATAGCTTCTTTCTGCAGAGAGAAGTCAGAAGACATCGGATTTTTCCAGATCACAGACACACTGATGGCCCATTATTATGTTGTTACCCTGTCAAACTTTCTTAAATAACCTTCACATCGTTTTCTCAATTCTTCAGAGATAACGGCAAACGTGTCTTCTCCAGAGCCATGAGGGGGGACTAGGCCTTAAACAGAAAGGGCTAGCTTAGACAAACAGCATACTGTAGCTATGTCTCTGATCATCTTATCATGGTTCATTTCATTATTATTTCATTTTTGGAAAGTAAGCAAAGTGCCCTGCAGTGATGTTAAAATATGGAACGCTAACTTTATCTTTGTTTATCATCTTGAATTAGTGGAGAGTATTGCTTTTCCTTAACCCTTTCCTCACTCCCTTGAAGTGTCCCATTACTTGCTGTCGATTGTGTATAGTTCATTCTATTTAGTTTTTACAATTTCCGACATACATTTTTTTGTGGACTGTGTTGCCTAACCTTTATTTTGCTTTCTCAGTGGCCCCCATTCCACTGCTCTCGATTCCATTATATCTAGTTCATTCTATTCAGTTTTCAAAAGTTCAGAAATTCAGACACCGTGCATTTTTCCGAGTGCTACTCAACCTCTGAGCACCTCAGGTTATTTATAACAGACATCACTCAACATATGCCACCCAGAGTGTCCTACCCGTCTGCCTCCCCACCAAGAGGGACTTTAACTGGCTCTTGAGTGAAATGACAGCTAATTGAGGTGGCCCCTCTCTGGCCTGAGTGCTAGCAGAGGACACACAGCTTTCAACCACCATCTGTGAAATGACTCATCATAATCAAAAGAAAATTATAGAGTGCGGGAGGGCGGTGGATGCAGACATCAAGAGAAATGTAACGGGAAGATGGTAATCTTTGACAAGTGGTTTAGATTCTGTATATTTATCTGTTTATTTATTTATCTATCTGTCGCTTTAGAGAGGAAGCGGTCGGGAGGTCAAGCTCAGGCACTACTAAACTACAACTAGACCAGAATTCCAGTGCTCATCAATAGCTATGATAGTCTCCTTAGAATAGTGACTCTGTGGTATGAGTGTTTTTCTCAGTATGGTGTTTTGTAGATTCCCTTTAAGTCTTTATTCTCTCACAGCCTCTTGCCTGTTCATAGGGAGAGAGGGAGGGAGGGAGAGAGGGAGAACACCACCACACAACCTGCTGCAGCATGAATGTCAAATATTCATAAGAGACCTCCTCTCAACATCTGTTCACACAACAATAAACTGGACATATGTCAGACACTCATTTGCATCCACGCTCAGTGCACAGAAACATGTGAGCGAGTGAGGGAGTGGCTGACCGACAGCTGGACGCACAATGAAGGAATGAGTACGGCCCAAATAAACACTGCTCCTGCCAGGGGAGAAAAGGTCATTTAATTAAATGTCATAACACAACAACACTGCAACAAGGCTGGTTGATCCTGGCTGCCATTTTTAAATCCGAAATGTGTCGCTGTCTGTGACATTTTTTCCCCTCCCCTTTTTTTCTGAGAACCGCGGTGTCTGGCTAGATTTAATGCATTGTTGTTTATGCACTCTGAGGTCTTTTTTGAAAAGCCCGTCCTAAACACAGACAAACACAGACACAGACAGGGCTTTGTAATGAACTCCCAGATTTCACTGAAATGGAAACCCAAAACAAAGACGACCAGTCTCCTGATGGTCTGATTAGCTCCAGAGCTCAGACACTAAATGTGGGCATTCTCACCATTCAGGTCGGGAGGAAATGGAGATATGTGTCTGATGATGGGGTGTCAGATAGCATGATATTGCCTTTTCCCTGAAGCACCATCGGCCTCTGAAGACGGCACTGCAGGACTTTCACAGTAGCAGACCTCATTCTGGGAAGCCGCCTCTTATCAGTGCCAGCGATCGTGTGGCCATGGATATAATATAAGATCAGTAAGGCAAGAGGCAACCAGTGTAGTCATGCAAACAGTCACTGTCTCACATACGCGGGCTGCAAGCACACCAAGCATGCACAATAAACTGTTTTCTCTGTACTCTTTTATATCTATTTTCCTATTTGCCTCTTTCATTCAAGCATACATCTACTGTACATTCACATATCTGTGCTCAAACAAATGGGTAGACACTGTAAAAAAGGCCTAGAGACTACACCTTCTTGGTTAACACACACACCTACACAGATTTTCTTTATAGCTGTGCATTGAATACAGCAGCAGAGCATTATCGCTGAGGTATGGTTTTTGCCCAGAGCATTGCAGTTTAGTTTCCTCACGCCGGCTTTATCAAAGAGAGAGATGAAACGGACGAGAAAAAAGTAAAATGCAGGCAGGCTTTGTCTTCCCTGTTGACATTTAATCAGCCACTCCCAGGCAGAGCCAGGCGGATGCTGCTACACTACCTGACCTCTCGTTATTTTGGGGATTGGGTAAAGGTAAAAATAGCTGAGATAGTTTAGTGCAGGGTTTCCAAAACTCGGTCCTGGGGTACCCCCTGGGTGCACGTTTTGGTTTTTGACCTAGCGCTACACTGCTGATTCAAATAACCAAAGCTTGATGACAAGTTTATTTGAATCAGTTGTATAGTGCTAGGGAAAAAAACAAAACGTGCACCCAGGCGGGGCCCCAGGACCGAGTTTGGGAAACCTTGGTGTAGTGTTTGCAGGTTTCCTTCTCCTAACTTTGTGCTTTCTGTGCTGGAGCAGAAACAGAACTGAGAGAGGTGGAGTAATACCTGGGTGCTGCAGTAGACTTAGTCTCCAGGAATTGATGGGCGTCTCCAGTTGATGTGTAGAGTAGAGCAGCCATCCCTTCTAGCAGTGTGGAACTTAAACAGTGAAACTACCTTGAACTTTCCCTGCTGACTGATCTATCTGATGTATATCTGAAATGTATGAAGGGAGTTCAAGGTAAGCCTGGGTTTTATGAAAGCTATAACCAACATTCTTCTCTCTTCTCTTCCTCTCCTAGTGCCAACTACAGAAGATGTCTCCCTCTCATCAGCCCTGCCTGAAACCACCACTCTCATCACCACCACCACGTCCACAGTCAAAGGCTCAGTTAACACCACGATTCCAGCCGACCCCAGGGATGGGAGAGAGAGAGAGGCGGGTAACCCAGCGGATGACTCCCATGGAACGGCTGACCCCACCGCCCCAGAGATCCCCCCAACCCCCAGGCGCTTCTGTGAGGGAACAATGAAGAGAGGCATCTCCTGGCCCCAGACACACACTGGAGTCACCGTGGAGAGACCCTGCCCCAAAGGAACCAGAGGTACTATCAGGAACCAAGAGGGAGGGTGGGGATGGAGGGAAGGTGTGTGTGTGTGTGTGTGTGAGGTATGTGCGTGAGGGCGTGTGTGTGTGAGTATTCCTCTGTGTATGAACGTGTTAGTGCTTATTAGTGTGTTTAGATATTGTCTTTCACCTATTTTACATTAGACAAGGTGCCAAGATGTGATATTCATTACCTACAATATGCTAGTGGTGCCAAACAGACAATATAGGAAGATAAAATAAACAGTAAGAGAATGTACATTGTGGTGGCGTAAGGGGATGTATATTATCATTGTTATTTCAATAATATGGAAAGCAGACATGTAGGACATCAAGGGTTACAAATAGGTAGCTAACATTATGGCAACACTGTTAATTGACAAGAATTCAGTAATATATACGGTACAGAGCAGTGGCGGTCAATGCAGTTTAAGATGAGGGAGGACGTTTTTAATTTTTTATGAGCAGTTCAATGTAACAGCGATAGGTTTAGGCTACTACGTGATACTGAATGTTCCCTATACCCATCACACTCTTGCCTGCATCTAGCTGATATAGGGTGTAATCAGTAGCCCAACAGTTGCAAATTAGTGTTTCTATTGGACAAATTCAGGTATGTTTATCCCCATTTTGTTCAGTTTCCTTCCATTTTAAGAAACGTTTTTCAACAGAATTGGCAGAATGAATACATCCCTGATCACACGTAAACACAGTTCACTTTCATAACAGCCACGTTGTATTCCTTCTCGCACCTTTCCCCTTCGCTTGTGGACTTCAATGCACAACACATGATCAGCTGTATGTGACCAGGCGAAAAAACCTTTCCGAGCCATATCATAACCGCTTCACACAGCCTACATCGTTGTCACCATATTAGCTAAAGTAACGTCATAGTCAACATAGCTAATAGAACTAACGTGTTAGTAAACCCACTACAATTGTGCAGTAACGTTACAAGCAGTTTAGCACTTACACCGGCGGGCCCTGGTGGCAATAAATTAGTAAAACCAAAAGCTTACTTTGACTTGGAAGAGTTCCAGTTTTGTGTTGGATAGTCATAGCCAGCTAGCTAACATAGCATCCCTCTGTTTGAGCAGGGTGTTTGAGTAGGCTAAACTAGCTAGCTGCATTTGCTAGCTAAGTACAGTTGAAGTCGGAAGTTTACATACACTTAGGTTGGAGTCATTAAAACTCATTTTTCAACCACTCCACATATTTCTTGTTAACAAACTATAGTTTTGGCAAGTCGGTTAGGACATCTACTTTGTGCATGACACAAGTAATTTTTCCAACAATTGTTTACAGACAGATTATTTCACATATAATTCACTGTATCACAATTCCAGTGGGTCAGAAGTTGACTGTGCCTTTAAACAGCTTGGAAAATTCCAGAAAATGATGTCATGGCTTTAGAAGCTTCTGATAGGCTAATTGACATCATTTGAGTCAATTGGAGGTGCACCTGTATATTTCAAGGCCTACCTTCAAACTCAGTGCCTCTTTGCTTGACATCATGGGAAAATCAAAATAAATCAGCCAAGACCTCAGAATAAAAATTGTAGACCTCCACAAGTCTGGTTCATCCTTGGGACCAATTTCCAAACGCCTGAAGGTACCACGTTCATCTGTACAAACAATAGTACGCAAGTATAAACACCATGGGACCACGCAGCCGTCATACCACTCAGGAAGGAGACGCGTTCTGTCTCCTAGAGATGAACTTACTTTGGTGCGAAAAGTGCAAATCAATCCCAGAACAACAGCAAAGGACCTTGTGAAGATGCTGGAGGAAACAGGTACAAAAATATCTATATCCACAGTAAAACGAGTCCTATATCGACATAACCTGAAAGGCCACTCAGCAAGGAAGAAGTCACTGCTCCAAAACCGCCATAAAAAAGCCAGACTACGGTTTGCAACTGCACATGGGGACAAAGATCGTACTTTTTGGAGAAATGTCCTCTGGTCTGATAAAACAAAAATAGAACTGTTTGGCTATAATGACCATTGTTATGTTTGGAGAAAAAAGGGGGCGCTTGCAAGCCAAAGAACACCATCCCAACCGTGAAGCACGGGCGTGGCAGCATCATGCTGTGGGGGTGCTTTGCTGCAGGAGGGACTGGTGCACTTCACAAAATAGATGGCATCATGAGGAAGGAAAATGATGTGGATATATTGAAGCAACATCTCAAGACATCACTCAGGAAGTTAAAGCTTGGTCGCAAATGGGTCTTCCAAATGGACAATGACCCCAAGCATACTTCCAAAGTTGTGGCAAAATGGCTTAAGGACAACAAAGGCGCAAGGTATTGGAGTGGCTTGTGGAAGGCTACCCGAAACGTTTGACCCACGTTAAACAATTTAAAGGCAATGCTACCAAATACTAATTGAGTGTATGTAAACTTCTGACCCACTAGGAATGTGATGAAAGAAATAAAAGCTGAAATAAATAATTCTCTCTACTATTATTCTGACATTTCACATTCTTAAAATAAAGTGGTGATCCTAAATAGGATGAAATGTCAGGAATTGTGAAAAACTGAGTTTAAATGCATTTGGCTAAGGTGTATGTAAACTTCCGACTTCAACTGTAAGTTAACTGAAAGTGAAAAAAATTACTCTCTCTCTTACTTCTCCTTCATTTTGGAAGAAAGGAATTTGTTCAAAACTGTTCAAGTATTGTCTTTCTCTCTCTTTGACTCAACTACTCACCACATTTTATGCACTGCAGTGCTAGCTAGCTGTAGCTTATGCTTTCAGTACTAGATTCATTCTCTGATCCTTTGATTGGGTGGACAACATGTCAGTTCATGCTGCAAGAGCTCTGATAGGTTGGAGAACGTCTTCCGGAAGTTGTCATAATTACTGTGTATGTATATGGAAGGGGTTGAGAACCATGAGCCTCCTAGGATTTGTATTGAAGGCAATGTACCCAGAGGAGGATGGAAGCTAGCTGTCCTCTGGCTACACCATGGTGCTACCCTATAGAGTGCTGTTGAAGCTACTGTAGACCTTCATTGCAGAATAGTGGGTTTTAATACATTATTTGGTGATGTGATTATATTTAGTATCGTTTTATCTAAAAAGTATAACTTTTTAAATGTTTTACTTTTTTTATTTTATAAAATTCACTGAGGAGGATGGTCCTCCCCTTCCTCCTCTGAGGAGCCTCCACTGGTACAGAGGAGCTAATGGCAACTTTATTAATTGACAACCAGCAATTAGACCAGTGGTATTCAAACTTTTTCAATGGGGACCCCATTTTTTCCCAATAATTTCTTGCGACCACACCCAACTCCAAATCCAATGACACAACCTTAAAATCTGTGAATGTAGATTTTTACATCAACTAATAAACTTAAATTCTTTGCATTTTCATCTCTTATCAAAATGAAAAGAAAGCCATAAATACATTTACTCAATAAAAATGTGTTTTTTTGTTGTGTTTTTTATTTTGTTGGGGTGACCTCACTGCAGTTCCCCCGTCGCGACCCCGACTTTGAATACCACTGAATTAGACTATAAGAAGACAATGATTCCTACAGTATAAAGCTGAACTGTATGAGAATATCTCACTGTTCAGTGTCCACTGTTAGACAATACAAAGCTGGCAACCTTCATGGTTCCTACTGGACAGCCACGTTTCGCATCATTGCTTTTTTTGACCATGGCTGACCTCAGTCGTTTGTTTTTCCTGAGAGACTTGTTGAGTGGAGGACAGGAGTGGTAGGAGGGTGAAGAGTTGGCCTAACCTCTGTTAAATACAAATTTATTTAACCTTTATTTAAACAGGCTATACTCATTGTGATGCAATATATTTTGCAAGAGAGACCTGTTCAAGATGGCAGTGGTCAGCAACATTACAAAAATGTACACAAATAAATGCACACATACAATACATACCATTTCACATGAAAAACAGACAATAGGGTTGTGTAACGGTTGTCTTTGTTGTGCGTTTCTCCAGGCATTGCCTCCTACCTCTGCACGGTGGCAGGGGGGACCTGGAACCCAAAGGGACCCGACCTCAGCAACTGTACTTCCCACTGGGTCTCTCAAGTGGCACAAAAGGTTGGTCAACAATGTCCCCCCATGGCTCTGGTGACAGCGAGGGAAGGAACAAAACAACACGTCAACTTTCCTCTACTGCTTTATCTGAAAGGGCACAGTGTATCTGTAATTTTAGGGCATCTTGTTGGTTGCAACACTAAATAAGGGGTTTGCCCATACATACATACATACTGTATTCCACTGAATTACTTATAGATGTAAACAAAATACACATTCAATGCACATTTGTTGACATTTTTCTTGCTCTCTGTGGCCTATAGCTAGCAGCATTAATATTGATTTGAGTTTAAATCAGTATGTGATACATTACCTGTACATTACCTGACACTGTGATGCCGATCTTTCAAAGACGTTGCACCAATGACCCTGAGCCTTTTCCTGCTGTGCTGTTTTCGTCCACATTAAATCAGTAGTATCCGTTGTTAGCACATCGTTAACATACCACATACCAGGTACCGTATTTAGTAGGAAACAAGTAATTAAAAGCTTGAACAGGACCTTTTAATATTGCCGTTTTTCCTCCAACTCCAGATCCGTAGTGGGGAGAATGCAGCTAACCTAGCCAATGAGCTGGCCCGCCACACGCAGGGTCCAGTGTTCGCCGGTGACATCAGCTCATCAGTGCGACTCATGGAGCAGCTGGTGGACATCCTGGACGCTCAGCTCCAGGAGCTACGGCCTAGCGAAAAGGACTCGGCCGGGCACAGCTTCAACAAGGTAATATAAAATAATATATGTCATTTAGCAGACGATTCGAGTGCATAAATCTGAGTATATGTGACCCCAGGTAGGCTAGTAGGAACGAGAGCCATACACTGTATAAACATACGTATATCTCTGGGTGGGTAGTATTTCCTGCACTCCCTGCCCCCCCCCTCCCCCCCCCCCCCCCTCCCCCCTCTGCTCCACCTTTGACTCTACACAGGTTAAGCCACTCATTAGCCCTCCCCCTCCCCCACACTGTCTCCTTCCAGGTGAGATTAGGGAGGGGGGGGGGGGGGGTGGAGAGGCTGGCCCAGCCTTAAGGGGGAGCTGTGGCGCTGGAGAGGGGGGGAGCTCATTCTTCCAGCCCCACCTAGTCTTAGTAATTAATGGGTTCTGAAACGCAGCCTTCTCACCTGACAGCTCTGACTTAAAGAGCTAACGGATATCAGCCCCCCGTTAGCCAACACAAAGAATAACTCTCCTCTCCACCACTAGCCAGGCAAGTAGGTGGTCCTCTGTAGCTCAATTGGTAGAGCATGGCGCTTACAACGCCAGGGTAGTCGGTTAGGACATCTACTTTGGGCATGACACAAGTAATTTTTCCAACAATTGTTTACAGACAGATTATTTCACTTATAATTCACTGTATCACAATTCCAGTGGGTCAGAGGTTTACATACACTAAGTTGACGGTGCCTTTAAACAGCTTGGTAAATTCCAGAAAATGATGTCATGGCTTTAGAAGCTTCTGATAGGCTAATTGACATCATTTGAGTCAATTGGAGGTGTACCTGTGTATTTCAAGGCCTACCTTCAAACTCAGTGCCACTTTGCTTGACATCATGGGAAAATCAAAAGAAATCAGGCAAGACTTCAGAATAAAAATTGTAGACCTCCACAAGTCTGGTTAATCCTTGGGAGCAATTTCCAAACGCCTGAAGGTACCACATTCATCTGTACAAACAATAGTACGCAAGTATAAACACCATGGGACCACGCAGCCAACATACCGCCCAGGAAGGAGACACGTTCTGTCTCCTAGAGATGAACTTACTTTGGTGCGAAAAGTGCAAATCAATCCCAGAACAACAGCAAAGGACCTTGTGAAGATGCTGTAGGAAACAGGTACAAAAGTATCTTTATCCACAGTAAAATCTATATCGACATAACCTGAAAGGCCGCTCAGCAACTGCTCCAAAACCGCCATAAACAAGCCTATGGTTTGCAACTGCACATGGGGACAAAGATTGTACTTTTTGGAGAAATGTCCTTTGGTTTGATGAAACAAAAATAGAACTGTTTGCCCATAATGACCATCGTTATGTTTGGAGAAAAAAGGGGAATGCTTGCAAGCCGAAGAACACCATCCCAACCGTGAAGCACGGGGGTGACAGCATCATGCTGTGGGGGTGCTTTGCTGCAGGAGGGACTGGTGCACTTAACAAAATAGATGGCATCATGAGGAAGGAAAATTATGTGGATATATTGAAGCAACATCTCAAGATATCAGTCAGGAAGTTAAAGGTTGGTCGCAAATGGGTCTTCCAAATGGACAATGACCCCAAGCATACTTCCAAAGTTGTGGCAAAATGGCTTAAGGACAACAAAGTCAAGGTATTGGAGTGGCCATCACAAAGCCCTGACCTCAATCCTATAGAAAATGTGTGGGCAGAACTGAAAAGGCTTGTGCGAGCAAGGAGGCCTACAAACCTGACTCAGTTACACCAGCTCTGTCAGGAGGAATGGGCCAAAATTCACCCAACTTATTGTGGGAAGCTTGTGGAAGGCTACCCGAAATGTTTGACCCAAGTTAAACAATTTAAAGGCAATGCTACCAAATACTAATTGAGTGTATGTAAACTTCTGACCCACTGGGAATGTGATGAATGATTTATTTCTGCTTTTATTTCTTTCTCTCTACTATTATTCTGACATTTCAAGTTCTTAAAATAAAGTGGTGATCCTAACTGACCTAAAACAATGGATTTTTACTAGGATTAAATGTCAGGAATTGTGAAAAACAGAGTTTAAATGTATTTGGCTAAGGTGTATGTAAACTTCCGACTTCAACTGTATCTCTGAGTGAAGGGCCCAAGGAGGAATGTTAAGGCCACAGTCATATGGATAAATTAATTACAGTATTACAGTACTATTCAGAACGTAAAAGTGAAAGGATTTGGACCAAAAGACACCTGGGTAGTGTTGTCTTTGTTACTTTTGGGTTAGCAAATCCTAGACTGAATCTTTCTGTCTATGTTCTGGCTGTACTCTCTTAAAACTGCACAGTGCTATACTCCTGCAGCCACAATTTAGCTAGCAGTGGGAATAATGAAGCAGTCTCTTTTGACTGAGACGGAGACCAACCAACAAAAGGCTCTACAATAAAACTCAGAGCCGGCATACTGTTATAACCACAGTGCCATAGATTCCAAATGACCATCTCCTGCTTGGTTTATTGTCTCAATGCTTTATAAAGCATCGTTAATGCAAAGAGTAGGAAGTTTACCTCAGCAATTCCCCATCTACAACGCTATGCTGTGCAGCTCTGTCTTGGCCAGCCAAGCCCTTGTAGTTATGTAAGCTAGATACAGCTTCCGAAACACATTTAGAATGTGCTGCATAATATACAGTGAGCTTCTTATTTCATAAGGTTTATATATTATAATTTCCATCCTTATTCAAGTTGGGTAAGTGGTGTATTTTAAGATATCTGTGTTTTCTAAAGACATAGACTAACCTCCTTTTTTTCTTGTTCTTTGTGTTAAAAAGCTTCAAAAGAGAGAGCGGACTTGCAGGGCATATATGAAGGTACTGTATATCTTCTGGTTCCACATAGACACCTTTCCCTCTTAAAGTATCCACAATATGCTCAGTAGCATGAAGCATTGGTGTCTGTCTGTGATTATCTGCTGGCTTGTCTGTATGCACAACGCGTCTGCCTGCCTGCCTGTCTGTATGTCTGTCTGTCAATATCTCTCCTTCTATCTCTTATCTCTCTCTCTATTCCCCTCTCTCCTGTCTGCTCTTTGTGCGTTGTATGAGTAATTGCCTTCCCACGGCCGTAATTGTAGCTCCCTGTCAGCCAGAAGTTTGATCAAAGTGGCAGTGTACTCAGTTTTTCACTTGCTTGTGTTTTACCATTTCCAGCCTCTCCTTGTTCCTCCTCTCGCTGACAAAAGTGCACAATTTTGTGTTTGTTTGATGGATTCATTTTCAGTCCCATTAATGTGTTTGTGTTCATATAGGATTAGTAGGTTCTTTTCATTCCTTTCTCTCTTAATGTCATTTTCCTTTCCTCTGAGTTTATAATCTGAGAGCAGGTCCTGTTGAAAGAAGCGGTTCTGGCGTAAACTCACAGTGGGCCTGCCTTGCACAAAACAAACCAGCCTTCTCAGACCTCTGTGTCTCTCTCTTCAGTCTCTGTATAACTGGTGGGAGCATTCTTCACCATGAGTTAGGGCTGTTTTTTACTGAGGTCTCATTTACTGTGAGAAATAGGGATACACTGTATTTCTCTGTCAACTTGATATAAGTCTGTCTTCTTTATGCATCACCATTCATCAATAGGCAATGTAAGTGAAGTCAGCAGCACCACCACCACCCAAGCATTTCCTGCTCGCTGTGGGGCATCTTGTGATTGGTGTGTGGTGGGACCTCCACCCAGGCGAGAATTATATTAATTAAAGAGGACTCAATCAGAACAGAGAGGTTTTTTCTTTCTTCTAACGCTGCCACAAATTAAAGACATTGATATTTTGTAAATCTTTTTTTTGTGTTCCTCATTCTTCATGCCTACAAGGAAGCGGGTACTCACCAGGAGGGAGGACCATTGAGTGTTTCTTTGTTTGTCTGGGGTGTAATGGTCCTAGCCCTGAAATCACTACTGTGACGCCTCCCCTCCTCCCCTCTCTTCCTATCCTATCCTCTCCGACACTGACTGGGCTGTACGCCTATCATAGCTCTAGGTAATAATGGTAGCCAGCCGTGTGGTTGGTTTACATGTTTTGGTGATTGGTTAATCATCAGTCTGGTTTGATGGCGAGGGACTACAGTGTTTAATCGTCCCACTGGTTAATCCAGACAACAGGGTAATTGTGCCTATGGTCAATTAGTGTGTGTGGATGATAATCACAGCTTTGCACTAATTGGTACATTGAGTGACTGTTGTTATTGGCTAATTACCACTATAGTGTAGCCTGGGCCTCTGCTGTGGTTAATGTCACCTGTGGTTAAATTGTCACTAGTTTATCAGGTCATGGGTTGATATGGATTTGTGGGGTAATTATGCTGATGGATATGTTTGGTAGCGCTGCTGTGTGGATATGGATATAAGCTACATGGGAGTCATGAGTGGGGCTAGCGTTTACATTGCTGTGTGGTTGTGGATATACAGTGCATTCGGAAAGTAGTCAACCTTTCCCCCCCTAATCAATCTAACCACAATACCCCATAATGACAGAGCAAAAACCGGTTTTTATAATTTTTTGTAAATGTATATAAAAAACAGAAATATCACATTTACATACGTATTCAGACCTTTTACTCAGTACTTTGTTGAAGCAGCTTTGGTAGCGATTACGGTCTCGAGTCTTCTTGGGTATGACGCTACAAGCTTGGCACACCTGTATTTAGGGAGTTTCTCCCATTCTTCTCTGCAGATCCTTTCAAGCTCTGTCAGGTTGGATGGGGAGCGTCACTGCACAGTTATTTTCAGGTCTCTCCAGAGATGTTCGATCGGGTTCAAGTCCGGGCTCTGGCTGGGCCACTCAAGGACATTCAGACACTTGTCCCAAAGCCACTCCAGCGTTGTTTTGGCTGTGTGCTTAGGGTCGTTGTCCTGTTCGAAGGTGAACCTTTGCCCCAGTCTGAGGTCGAGAGCACTCTGGAGCAGGTTTTCATCAAGGATCTCTCTGTACTTTGCTCCGTTCATCTTTCCCTCAATCCTGACTAGTCTTCGCGTCCCTGCCTCTGAAAAACATCCCCACAGCATGATGCTGCCACCACCATGCTTCACCGTAGGGATGGTGCCAGGTTTCCTCCAGACGTGACGCTTGACATTCAGGCCAAATAGTTAAATCTTGGTTTCATCAGACCAGAGAATCTTGTTTCTCATGGTCTGAGAGTCATTTAGGTGCCTTTTGGCAAACTCCAAGCGGGCTGTGATGTGCCTTTTACTGAGGAGTGGCTTCCGTCTGGCCACTCTACCATAAAGGCCTGATTGGTGGAGTGCTGCAGAGATGGTTGTCCTTCTGGAAGGTTCTCCCATCTCCACAGAGGATCAATCAATTGAATTTACCACAGGTGGACTCCAATCAAGTTGAAGAAACATCTCAAGGATGATCAATGGAAACAGGATGCACCTGAGCTAAATTTCGAGTCTCATAGCAAAGGGTCTGAATACTTACGTAAATAAGGTATTTCTGTTTTTTACCTTTAATAAATGTGCACATTTTTCTAGAAACCTATTTTCGCTTTGTCATTATGGGGTATTGTGTGTAGATTAATGAGAAAAAAATAATATTCAATCCATTTTAGAATAAGGCTGTAACGTAACAAAATGTGGGAAAAGGGAAGGGGTCTGTATACTTTCCGAATGCACTATAGATAAGCTACATGGGAGTCATCAATGGGGCTAGCGTTAGCGCTGCTGTGTGACTATGGATATAGATAGAAATGCTAAGCTACATGGGAGTTGAACTCTCCTGCACAGGGTCACAGTGACCTCCATTTTGATCAACATTTGATACTTTTTCTTGAGTGTTTGGAATGTTTTGCTTACTTACTGCTTATCAGCCAAGCAGGAAATGAAAGGATTGTCATTGAAAACAAGCAGAATTATACCCTTCTTTACTTAGACTGCTACCCATGAAACAAATTGATTAATTTTCTTTATAACATTTTCCCCTCTAGGAAGGAAAAGCTGCACATTGCAAGGCCATTATGACCAGATTCTGTTATGGAATATATTTTTTGTTAGCGAAGAGGAAGATAATTGTTCTTTGGGAAAAATAAGATGTTAAAGAACAGGAACTGAGAGAGTAGTATTGTGGAAAAACTTCTCCATTCATTTGAAAAACATTTGGTTTGTGTTTGAACTTCCCCTCTGGCACAGTTTTGTTATTCAAAAGAAAAGAAATCGGTCTAAACCAGCGAAGTGGGGAGACAACTTCCTGTAGTTTATATTCTGTGACCACCATGCCATCTTTAAGTGATGTTTTAATTTGAATGTATCTTCATATCATCCTTTAATTCCTGTGACCTTATTTGTTGAATTTCTTGGTTGTTGCTTGTCCTTACTTGCCATCAGCATCATATGCCTTCCTTGCCCCTTTTCCACCTGTATGCTGCAGACATTAGTAGAAGTTATGAGGTATAAATAAAAAGCAACAAAGGTCTGACATTTTACTTGTGTCCACGGATACAGGCCATAGTGGATACGGTTGACAACCTCCTGAGGCCGGAAGCCCTGAAGTCCTGGGAAGACATGAATTCCACGGAGCAAACGCACGCAGCCACCATGTTACTGGATACCCTGGAGGAAGGAGCCTTCGTCCTTGCCGACAACCTGATTGAGCCCGCTGTAGTCAAAGTGCCTGCAGACAACATAAGTACGTATTTTTTTTTCTCTCTACCCACCCTGCCCATCACTCATAAAAATGAAAAACTAGACAGACACGTCTGCCAGTTACAATCCACAGTTTTAATGATTATTTTCATTTGGATTATCTCCCCCCTGTCTTGGAAGAAAATTACTTTAACCTCAGTACTAAAATTGGCTTTTTTTCTACAGTTTGTTATGTTCAAGGAAGTGGAAGTTAACATTCACAACCATTCTGTAGAAACATACTTCTGCTAGGCCCCAGGGCTTCTGTTCCATGGGCTTATTCATTCTAGACAAGAACCTGGACAGCTATTCCTCCAGGAGAGAGGCAAAGTGGTTTTTAGAAAGACCAAATTTAGTTGAAGTCACAGTAGGAGGTTTGATGTCTCGCTCAGCGCCAGGCAAGCTAATATGTTCTCACAGGCAGTTTATTAGCAATGTGATCTCATTCATTTAAGTCAGCTTTGTGCAGTGAACTGTCATTTTCCCTACACAAGCCTCTTTGTTGCCATGGTTATGAGTTCCCCACTGCCTTTTTCTTGCATAGTTAAGTAGGGGCATTGAATTTGTTCTGCAAGATGAACTGTCTGGTCTTCTCATGGAAGATCGAATAAATCAATTGAATCATTTCATACACTACATGACCAAAAGTATGTGGACATCTGCTCATCGAACATCTAATTCCAAAATCATGGCCATTAATATGGAGTTGGTCCCCCCTTTGCTGCTATAACAGCCACTAGATGTTGGAACATTGCTGCGTGGACTTGCTTCCAATCAGCCACAAGAGCATTAGCGAGGTCGGGCACTGATGTTGGGCGATTAGGCCTGGCTCGCAGTCGGCATTTCCAATTAATCCCAAAGGTGTTCGATGGGGTTGAGGTCAGGGCTCTGTGCAGGCCAGTCAAGTTCTTCCACACCGATCTCGACAATCCATTTCTGTATGGACCTCGCTTTGTGCACGGGGGCATTGTCATGCTGAAACAGGAAAGGGCCTTTCCCAAACTGTTTCCACAAAGTAGGAAGCACGGAATCATCTAGAATGTCATTGTATACTGTAATGTTAAGATTTCCCTTCACTGGAACTAAGGGGCCTAGCCGTACCATGAAAAACAGCCCCAGACCATTATTCTTCCTCCACCAAACTTTACAGTTGGCACTATGCATTGGGGCAGGTAGCGTTCTCCTGGCATCCACCAAACCCAGATTTGTCCGTCGGACTGTCAAATGGTGAAGCGTGATTAATCACTCCAGAGAACGCGTTTCCACTGCTCCAGAGCCCAATGGCGGCGAGCTGTACACCACTCCAGACGACGCTTGGCATTGCGCATGGTGATCTTAGGCTTGTGTGCGGCAGCTCGGCCATAGAAACCGATTATATTAAGCTCCCGACAAACAGTTATTGTGCTGACGTTGCTTCCAGAGGGAGTTTGGAACTTGGTAGTGAGTGTTGCAACCGAGAACAGATGATTTTTACACGCTACAAGCTTCAGCACTCGCCGGTCCCGTTCTGTGAGCTTGTGTGGCCTACCGCTTCGCGGCTGAGCCATTGTTGCTCCTAGACGTTTCCACTTCACAAAAACAGCAATTACAGTTGACCAGGGCAGCTCTAGCAGGGCAGAAATTTTACAAACTGACTTGCTGGAAAGGTGGCATCCTATGACGTTGAAAGTCAATGAGATCTTCAGTAAGGCCATTCTACTGCCAATGTTTGTCTATGGAGATTGCATGGCTGTGTGCTCGATTTGATAAACCTGTCAGCAACGGGTGTGGCTGAAATAGCCGAATCCACTAATTTGAAGGGGTGTCCACATACTTTTGCATATATAGTATTTTCTATACGGTAGCTATATCCTCTAACCCTGCCTTAACCCTTTGTCAGTAAATGGTCATTACAAGCAGATAAGAAAAACCAGATGCACTGCAGCCCGCTAATGCAAAATTAAATTGTTTGCCTATACACGCCATGTATAGTTAATCGTTGCAAACAAATCATATTAAATCAAATACAATTTTATTTGTCACATGCGCCTAATACAACAGGTGTAGACCATACACAGTCGTGGTCAAAAGTTTTGAGAATGACACAAATACTAATTTTCACAAAGTCTGCTGCCTCAGTTTTGATGATGGCAATTTGCATATACTCCAGAATGTCATGAAGAGTGATCAGATGAATTGCAATTAATTGTAAAGTCCCTCTTTGCCATGAAAATGAACTTAATCCCCCAAAAACATTTCCACTGCATTTCAGCCCTGCCACAAAAGGACCAGCTGCCATCATGTCAGTGATTCTCTCGTTAACACAGGTGAGAGTGTTGACGAGGACAAGGCTGGAGATCACTCTGTCATGCTGATTGAGTTAGAATAACAGACTGGAAGCTTTAAAAGGAGGGTGGTGCTTGAAATCATTGTTCTTCCTGTTAACCATGGTCACCTGCAAGGAAACACCTGCCATCATCATTGCTTTGCACAAAAAGGGCTTTCCAGGCAAGGATATTGCTGCTAGTAAGATTGCACCTAAATCAACCATTTATCGGATCATCAAGAACTTCAAGGAGAGAGGTTCAATTGTTGTGAAGAAGGCGTCAGGGCGCCCAAGAAAGTCCAGCAAGCGCCAGGACTGTCTCCTAAAGTTGATTGAGCTGCGGGATCGGGGCACCACCAGTGCAGAGCTTGCTCAGGAATGGCAGCAGGCAGGTGTGAGTGCATCTGCACGCACAGTGAGGCGTAGACTTTTGGAGGATGGCCTAGTGTCAAGTAGGGCAGCAAAGAAGCCACTTCTCTCCAAGAAAAACATCAGGGACAGACTGATATTCTGCAAAAGGTACAGGGATTGGTCTGCTGAGGACTGGGGTAAAGTCATTTTCTCTGATGAATCCCCTTTCCGATTGTTTGGAGCATCCGGAAAACACCTTGTCCGGAGAAGACAAGGTGAGCGCTACCATCAGTCCTGTGTCATGCCAACACTAAAGCATCCTGAGACCATTCATGTGTGGGGTTGCTTCTCAGCCAAGGGAGTGGGCTCACTCACAATTTTGCCTAAGAACACAGCCATGAATAAAGAATGGTACCAACACATCCTCCGAGAGCAACTTCTCCCAACCATCCAAGAACAGTTTGGTGACGACCAATGCCTTTTCCAGCATAATGGAGCACCTTGCCATAAGGCAAAAGTGATAACTAAGTGGCTCTGGGAACAAAACATTGACATTTTGGGTCCATGGCCAGGAAACTCCCCAGACCTTAATCCCATTGAGAACTTGTGGTCGATCCTCAAGAGGCGGGTGGACAAACAAAAACCCACAAATCCTGACAAACTCCAAGCATTGATTATGCAAGAATGCGCTGCCATGAGTCAGGATGTGGCCCAGAAGTTAATTGACAGCATGCCAGGGCGGATAGCAGAGGTCTTGAAAAAGAAGGGTCAACACTGGAAATATTGACTCTTTGCATAAACTTAATGTAATTGTCAATAAAAGCCTTTGACACTTATGGAATGCTTGTAATTATACTTCAGTATACCATAGTAACATCTGACAAAAATATCTAAACACACTGAAGCTACAAACTTTGTCAAGACCAATACTTGTGTCATTCTCAAAACCTTTGACCACGACTGTACAGTGAAATGCTTACTTACAAGCCCTTAACCAACAATGCAGTTTTAAGAAAGAATAGCTAAAAATAAATAAAAGTAACAAATAATTAAAGAGTAGCAGTAAAATAACAATAGCGAGACTGAATACAAGGGGTACCGGTACCGAGTCAATGTGCGGGGGCACCGGTTAGTCAAGGTAATTGAGGTAGTATGTGCAGTGAGGGAAAAAATATTTGATCCCCTGCTGATTTTGTACGTTTGCCCACTCACAAAGACATGATCAGTCTATAATTTTAATGGTAGGTTTATTTGAACAGCGAGAGACAGAATAACAACAACAAAAATCCAGACAAATGCATGTCAAAAATGTTATAAATTGATTAGCATTTTAATGAGGGAAATAAGTATTTGACCCCTCTGCAAAACATGACTTAGTACTTGGTGGCAAAACCCTTGTTGGCAATCACAGAGGTCAGACGTTTCTTGTAGTTGGCCACCAGGTTTGCACACATCTCAGGAGGGATTTTGTTCCACTCCTCTTTGCAGATCTTCTCCAAGTCATTAAGGTTTCGAGGCTGACGTTTGGCAACTCGAACCTTCAGCTCCCTCCACAGATTTTCTATGGGATTAAGGTCTGGAGACTGGCTAGGCCACTCCAGGACCTTAATGTGCTTCTTCTTGAGCCACTCCTTTGTTGCCTTGGCTGTGTGTTTTGGGTCATTGTCATGCTGGAATACCCATCCACGACCCATTTTCAATGCCCTGGCTGAGGGAAGGAGGTTCTCACCCAAGATTTGACGGAACATGGCCCCGTCCATCGTCCCTTTGATGCGGTTAAGTTGTCCTGTCCCCTTAGCAGAAAAACACCCCCAAAGCATAATGTTTCCACCTTCATGTTTGACGGTGGGGATGGTGTTCTTGGGGTCATAGGCAGCATTCCTCCTCCTCCAAACACGACGAGTTGAGTTGATGCCAAAGAGCTCGATTTTGGTCTCATCTGACCACAACACTTTCACCCAGTTCTCCTCTGAATCATTCAGATGTTCATTGGCAAACTTCAGACGGCCCTGTATATGTGTATATGTGCTTTCTTGAGCAGGGGGACCTTGCGGGCGCTGCAGGATTTCAGTCCTTCACGGCGTAGTGTGTTACCAATTGTTTTCTTGGTGACTATGGTCCCAGCTGCCTTGAGATCATTGACAAGATCCTCCCGTGTAGTTCTGGGCTGGTTCCTCACCGTTCTCATGATCATTGCAACTCCATGAGGTGAGATCTTGCATGGAGCCCCAGGCCGAGGGAGATTGACAGTTCTTTTGTGTTTCTTCCATTTGCGAATAATCGCACCAACTGTTGTCACATCTGCTTGGTGATGGTCTTGTAGCCCATTCCAGCCTTGTGTAGGTCTACAATCTTGTCCCTGACATCCTTGGAGAGCTCTTTGGTCTTGGCCATGGTGGAGAGTTTGGAATCTGATTATTGATAGCTTCTGTGGACAGGTGTCTTTTATACAGGTAACAAGCTGAGTTTACGAGCACTCCCTTTAAGAGTGTGCTCCTAATCTCAGCTCGTTACCTGTATAAAAGACACCTGGGAGCCAGAAATCTTTCTGATTGAGAGGGGGTAAAATACTTATTTCCCTCATTAAAATGCAAATCAATTTATAACATTTTTGACATGCGTTTTTCTGGATTTTATTGTTGTTATTCTGTCTCTCACTGTTCAAATAAACCTACCATTAAAATTATAGACTGATCATTTCTTTGTCAGTGGGTAAATGTAGAAAATCAGCAGGGGATCAAATACTTTTTTCCCTCACTGTACATGTAGGTAGAGTTATTAAATGCAATGCAAATAGTCTGGGTAGCCATTTGATTAGATGTTCAGGAGTCTTACGGCTTTGGGGTACAAGCTGTTTGAAGCCTCTTGGACCTAGACAAGGTGATCCCTTACCGCTTGCTGTGCGGTAGCAGAGAGAACAGTCTATGACTAGGGTGGGTGGAGTCTTTGACAGTTTGTAGGGCCTTCCTCTGACAGCGCCTGCTATAGACTGTCTCGTCGTTGTCGGTGATCTGGCCTACCACTGTTGTGTCATTGGCAAACTTAATGATGGTGTTGGAGTCGTGCCTAACCATGCAGTCATGGGTGAACAGGGAGTACAGGAGGGGACTGAGCATGCACCCCTGAGGGGCCCCCGTGTTGAGACCTACCCTTACCACCTGGGGGCGGCCCGTCAGGAAGTCCAGGATCCAGTTGCAGAGGGAGGTGTTTAGTCCCAGGGTCCTTAGCTTAGTGATGAGCTTTGAGGGCACTATGGTGTTGAACGCTGAGCTGTAGTCAATGAATAGCATTCTCACATAGGTGTGAAAGGGCAGTGTGGAGCGCAATAGAGATTGCATCATCTGTGGATCTGTAGGGGCATCATGCAAATTGAGTGGGTCTAGAGTTTCTGGGATAATGATGTTGATGTGAGCCATGACCAGCCTTTCAAAGCACTTCATGGCTACAGATGTAAGTGCTATGGGTCGGTAGTCATTTAGGCAGGTTACCTTAGTGTTCTTGGACAAAGGGACTATGGTGGTCTGCTTGAAACATGTTGGTATTATAGACTCAGACAGGGAGAGGTTGAAAATGTCAGTGAAGACACTTGCCAGTTGGTCAGCGCATGCTTGTAGGACACATCCTGGTAATCCGTCTGGCCTTGTGAATGTTGACCTGTTTAAAGGTCTTACTCACATCGGCTACGGAGAGCGTGATCACACAGTTGTCCGGAACAGCTGATGCTGTCATGCATGTTTTAGTGTTACTTGCCTCGAAGCGAGCATAGAAGTAATTTTGCTCGTCTGGTAGGCTTGTGTCACTGGGCAGCTCACGGCTGTGCTTCCCTTTGTATTCTGTAATAGTTTGCAAGCCCTGCCACATCCGACGAGTGTCGGAGCCGGTGTAGTACGATTCGATCTTAGTCCTGTATTGACGCTTTGCCTGTTTGATGGTTCGTCGAAGGGCATAGCAGGATTTTTTATAAGCTTCTGAGTTAGAGTCCCGCTCCTTGAAAGCGGCAGCTCTACCCTATAGCTCAGTGCGGATGTTGCCTGTAATCCATGGCTTCTGGTTGAGGTATGTACGTGCGGCCACTGTGGGGACGATGTCATCGATGCACTTATTGATGAAGCCAGTGACTGATGTGGTGTACACCTCAATGCCATCGGAAGAATCCCGGAAAATTTTCCAGTCTGTGCTAGCAAAACAGTCCTGTAGCTTAGCATCTGCTTCATCTGACACTTTTTTATTGACCCAGTCACTGGTGCTTCCTGCTTTAGTTTGTGCTTGTAAGCAAGAATCAGCAGGATAGAATTTTGGTCAGATTTGCCAAATGGAGGGCGAGGGAGAGCTTTGTACGCGTCTCTGTGTGTTGAGTAAAGGTGGTCTATATATTTTTTTCCCTCTGGTTGCACATTTAACATGCTGGTAGAAATGAGGTAAAACGGATTTAAGTTTCCCTGCATTAAAGTCCCGGGCCACTAGGAGCGCCGCCTCTGGATGAGCGTTTTCCTGTTTGCTAATGGCTGTGTACAGCTCATTAAGTGCGGTCTTAGTGCCAGCATCGGTTTATGTTGGTAAATAGACAGCTACGAAGAATATAGATGAAATCTCTCTTGGTAGATAGTGTGGTCTACAGCTTATCATGAGATACTCTACCTCTGGCGAGCAAAACCTCGAGACTTCCTTAGATATCGTGCACCTGCTGTTGTTTACAAATATACATAGACCGCCACCCCTTGTCTTACCAGAGGCTGCTGTTCTATCCTGCCAATACAGTGTATAACCCGCCAGTTGTATGTTATTCATGTCGTCGTTCAGCTACGACTCTGTGAAACATTACAGTTTTTTATGTCCCGTTGGTAGGATATACGTGCTTGTAGTTCGTCCACTTTATTATCAAGTGCTAGCTGTGCCACTAGAGATCCTGGTTTGAATCCAGGCTCTGTCGTAGCCGGCCGCGACCGGGACACCCATGGGGCGGCGCACAATTGGCCCAGCGTCGTCCAGGGTAGGGGAGGGAATGGCCGGCAGGGATGTAGCTCAGTTGGTAGAGCATGGCGTTTGCAACGGCAGGGTTGTGGGTTCGATTCCCACGGGGGGCCAGTATGAAAAATAAAAAAATAATGTATGCACTCACTAACTGTAAGTCGCTCTGGATAAGAGCGTCTGCTAAATGACTCAAATGTAAATGTAAATGATTATACATTGGCCAATAGTACCGATGGCAAAGGCAGATTAGCACTCGTCGCCGGCTCCTTACCAGGCACCCCGATCTCCTTCCGCGATATCTCCTTTTCTTTCTACTGCGAATGACAGGGATGAGGGCCCTGTCGGGTTTCTGGAGCAAATCCCTCATTAAAGAAAAATTATTAGTCCAGTTCAAGGTGAGTAATCGCTGTTCTGATGTCCAGAAGCTCTTTTCGGTCATAAGAGACGGTAGCAGCAATATTATGTACAAAATAAGTTACAAACAATGCGAAAAAACTAACAAAATAGCACGGTTGGTTAAGAGCCCATAAAACGGCAGCCATCCCCTCCGGCGCAATTGACACACTTTGTTTATGTGCTTTTAGCACACAGGGCCTCAACAACAGATTTCTACTAGTAGTAATATAGCTAGTAGAACTATCCCAATCTCCTCTGACAATGCTATGTGAGGACTGAGGCCCCAGCCAGGCTCAGGGACAGTCTTCTCTGCAGCTCGCCTGATGCGCAGGAGAAGAGAAGCCCAAAATGATCCTCACTAACATAGTTTCCTGATTCAGGCTGAAACACAAATGGCACCTTGAGGCGAACGTCAAGGACAGGAGGAGAGAAAAGGGAGGGGTAAGGGGGTAAGTTTAGGATAGAGGGATAGAGAGAAAGAAGGAAGGAAGCGAAGGAAAGGAGAAAAACGTCAGAGGGAGAACAATGCCTCATCTCTGTGTGTCAAAAGCGATCTGTGGTGAGGAAGTTGAGGCTGGTTCTGACAGGAGGGAGTGTGCTGATACGTGCGTCCTCCTGACCCCTCCGTAATTCCACACATCAAAGAGAGTGAGAGAGAGCCATCCCGCAGCTGGCACAGAGGAGAGGGAGAGGGATAGAGAGAGCGAGAGAGAGGGCAGGAGGTTTGCTGCAGGAATCTAGCAGGCTTTTCAGAGATTTGCTCGCTGGCGAGGCCAGAGTTATCTGAACCCACAGGGGGAAGAAAAGCCCAATGATATTTTTGATCTTATGAATATTTGACATTCATGCTTCAGCAGGTTGTGTGGTGGTGTGTTCTCTCTCTCTCCATGAGGAGCTCTGTAGGCCAGGGTTACAGGGAGCAGCTCAGTTATTTTCTATAGTAAATAGCGCTGGATGGGATATTGACAATGAGATTGGATTCTCTAGCTGGAACACTTGATCTGGTTCCTCCCTTCTTTCACCCTTCACCACCTTTATATCGGAGCTCTATTAAACACTGTGTGTTGCTATTGAAACGTGACCTATCAGTAATGTATACCACTACCATTCCCCTCTTTCCCCTCTCCTCCTCCCCCCTCTCTCTGTCTCCTTCTGCTCCTCCCCCTCTACCTCCCCCTCTCCTTATCCTCTTTTAGTGCTGGATGTGTATGTGCTCAGTACTGATGGCCAGGTGCAGGACTTCAGGTTCCCCCAGACCAGCAAGGGTGGAGCCTCCATTCAACTATCTGCAAACACAGTCAAAGTCAACAGTAAAAACGGTAAAAAAAAAAATGAATGAATTAATGTGATCATGCTGAAGGAGCATTGCCCTGCACTGAGTGTGGCTGATGGATAGAGATGAGTAGCAATTCTATACGTTCACAATGCCACCATAAATCTTATTCTAATGTGTTTTTTTCCCAGGTGTGGCCAAGCTGGTGTTTGTCCTCTATAAGCACCTGGGCCGGTTCCTCAGTACAGAGAACGCCACGCTCCGGGGAGGAGGAGGCGGCGGAGGACGTAACCTCTCAGACCTGACCGTCAACTCACACATCCTGGCCGCCTCCATCACCAAGGAGTCCAGCCGCGTGTTTGTGTCCGACCCCGTCATCTTCACCCTGGAGCACCTCGACGTGAGTCCCCATTCCCCTGAGAAAACCCGGGAGCTCCAGAACTCTAGAGTCAGGCCGCGGTGTGGTTCAGTGCAGGGGGAAATAGTGTGGAAGAGAAATGGCAGTGTGGTCTTTAGTAGTTGGAGGATAAATGCCAATTTCGTAGGATACAGCTGCACGGCTACCACGGCTGTAAAATATAAGTACATGTCAGATCTGGAACTCCCACGGTTATACACTTCTGTTAGTTTACATAGAAAAGCTACCATGTTTGTCATGTGATGATGTATGTCAATATACTGTAAATGTTTATAATTGCACTTGACACGACAGACAAGTTGGATCCATCCATAGGCCGAAGCAGGCTAACTTGAGTGCTTTCTTGTGTTTTCCAGTACTTAGCTTGTTGTTACTGTAGTCCCCTGTAGCTCAGTTGGCAGAGCATGGCGCTTGCAACGCCAGGGTTGTGGGTTCATTTCCCACGGGGGGCCAGTATGAAAATGTATGCACTAACTGTAAGTCGCTCTGGATAAGAGCGTCTGCTAAATGACTTAAATGTAAATGTAAATTTGCCATGGCAGGCTTGTCTGCCTGCTGTTATTGACCCTTGATGGAAAATGACATATACATACAGTATATATAGGTAGGAAGCATATGTACTCTAAAGTAATGTGTTAGTTGTTTTAAACAATGCTTATAATGTTGTTGTTTGTGGTATTTGAGGTTTCCTTGTTTTTTTGCTTATTGAGAACTACTACAACCCTAACTTTTAGCTAGTTGTTTTAAACAATGTTCATGTTTTTGTTATTTTGTTACTTTTCTGCTTTGTAGAAGGAGCACTTCTACAACCCCAACTGCTCCTTCTGGAACTACTCTGAGAGGAGTATGATGGGCTACTGGTCCACTCAGGGCTGTAAGCTCCTTGACACAAACAAGAGCCACACCACCTGTTCCTGTAGTCACCTGACCAACTTCGCCATCCTCATGGCCCATCGAGGAAATGTGGTGAGTGGCCTTCAGTGGGTTTTTCTCATGTTGTGTGGTTGGACTCTACTGGATGTATGTAATATGTACGTCTAGGGAACATGGTGAGTGGGTGGTTCTCATTTAAACTCTGAATCCCAAATCAACCCCTAGCAGCCCCTAACCCTCTAGACACTTGTGTAGATTGGAGATGATTGGATATGTGTAAGAAATATGGTAGATTTTCCCCAATTCTTGTCCTCTGTGGAATTGTAACAATGTTGCGGACACTCGTACTGACTGCCCCCATCCCCCCTCATTGTATGTACTTTATGTACGTAAATATGGCTAGAGTAAGATTGACAACTCTGAGGCTGATTAGATTTGAGGTGGTGGGTTGAGGGGATGGGGGTTGAGGAGAGGAATGCTGTTAGTTAATGTATGTGGAGAGAAACGGAAGGAGGCTGTCACTTACTTTGCCGGGAGTAAAACATCAAGAGATTGCAGGTACAAGATAGTAAAAGTTAGCTCTACCATTATTGGAAATAAATTACATTTTACTTATGTTCCGTGACTAATAACCTTCACGCACACGCATATCCTACACGGGGAAATGTACACGGCAGCCCGGTGTCACGCTTCTTCATTTTCCATTTCCACTCGATGACATGAAGTGGGTGAGATCCATTCGCAAGCAAAATGCAATTACAATCCAATTACATGATAAATATAATGTGCTGTGAGCATCTACCAGTAATAAACGTGGAACATAAGTTTGTGGTGTATATAATAACATGTCCCGACTCATGAAGTCTTCCCACGTCTTCCCCTCGCAAACCCCAAACCTTAAAACTCTTCACCACGAGGAGAAACCAGAGGTTTAAGCCATCCCTCAGTCACACCAACCCTACTACTCACCTCAACTACAACTCCTCCTGGCCTGCCCTTAATAAAATGTGTCATCTCACGGAACGGATTACCTCATGTTCAGACCACTATCCCTGAGTGATATTCTGTATGGTGAAGGCTTCTGTTTTTGCATATGGTCTTATAGCCTACATGTCCATATTGTAATGTGTTCATTTTCCTGGGTTGTGACACACACTATAATCAGCCCTTCACCCAGTGATCCCACACTATATGTTATAACATGTCGCGCCTTGGTGATACAGAGCTTTGTGACAGCTTACTAATGACCTTACATTGGCCCGGCACATGTACAAGGATCTAAAGACATGTCATCTGTTTCCTACAGTAGATGTTGAGTGAAATCCCTTAGTGAGTCAGGACATCATATTATGTCAAGGTTCATTGATGGGGACATGAAGTCTGTCATGTTTTATGTTTTCCGACAGGTTATTGGGTGTAAATCCTCCCTGCTGTATTGCTGTGTGTTTCTCATTGGTTCACTGATGTTGAGTTAAATCTCTGTATAAATCTCTGCTTATGTCATATTAGCTCCAGGTTATTGGGTTTACTTAAGATTATATAACGCATACTGATAAATGTTGGGAACGGCATTTGTACAAAGTGGCCTGAGCCAGGAAGTTGTCGGTTGTACTGTACTAGATACTGTTGTCTCTGTCTTCCTACTCATTTTATTCCCTGACCATTTGAATAAAAGAATAAGGTGATCACAACAAAAAAGCTGTTTGGGTCTAACCCCCTGTGTTTATGTCATGTTAGGTCCTAGATTCGGCAGGTTCTTGGTTCTAACCCCCTCTGTGTCTCTCTGTCCTGTCCACCAGGTGGAGGGGAGCGTCCATGAGCTGCTGCTGACGGTGATAACGCGGATGGGCATCGCTGTGTCTCTGGTGTGTCTGGCCATCAGCCTGTTCACCTTCTGCTTCTTCAGGGGCCTGCAGAGCGACCGCAACACCATCCACAAGAACCTCTGCCTCAACCTCTTTATCGCTGAGCTCGTTTTCCTCGTGGGCATCAACATGACTGAACCCAAGGTAAGGAGTATGGGCCCCCCTCAAGTATACACACGGATCAGAGTGGGCTTAGATGCACAATTATTTTTTTCCCATGGAATATGTTCCAGTTTTCTATTCCTACTCTTCCATTGACTTCCCCTGTGTTTCAATACAGTTTCAATGCCACTGTCCCTTTACCTCTGTATGTGTAACCTTTAAATGTGTCCCCCTCCCAGCTGGTGTGCTCCATCATCGCGGGCGTTCTTCATTTCTTCTTTCTGGCGGCGTTTGCCTGGATGTGCCTGGAGGGCGTACAGCTCTACCTCATGCTGGTTGAGGTGTTTGAAAGCGAGTTCTCCCGCAGGAAGTACTATTACGTCTCCGGATACCTCTTTCCCGCTGTGGTGGTGGGAATCTCTGTCGCCATCGACTACCGCAGCTACGGGACACAGAAGGCGTAAGTAACACTAGAGCTCATCTTTAGACAGGGCCTTTGTGATCTTGCTTGACTCAGAATGCAGTAGTTTATAATATGTTTACGCTAGGTCTGTCAAACGCTAAAAACATTTTATTGAGTTAATCGCAGGATTTGCTGCGATTAATCGTAAATTCAGAATTTGCTCGAATTACGCTGTAATTTAAGATTTTTTTTATACAAAAGCATTACAAGAATATTGACGTCTTGATTTTGTCCAATGTAATGGTAAGCAAAATCAAGTAAATTGATAAAGCACACTTTCTTTAATCTCAATGTCAACTTGTTTTGACATCGCATTGTTGTGTTTAGCTGTATAAATTATGTATTTTGGATGTTTTCAGTGTATTTTTAATGCTTTCAGACAACACGATTAATAAAATAAATAATTGTGCACTAAAATTACAAAATGTTATCTTGAGTTAACTGATTTACTCTGACAGCCCTAGTTTACGCACATCCAGTAACCTTCAGGTGCAGAGTACGAAAAGTTACGTCAGAAAAAGACCTTGGGATGGAAACGTTGCACAGTAAAACTGCGGGAGCATTCAACAGTATCTATCTTCCTTTCTTGGTGCAGAGAGCATCAGGTCTCCCAGAACAGCCAACTCCATATCAAGACTCCCTTTCTTCCCCACAGTGCTAATGAGAGCTACATCACAGACCCTAGTCTCCCTCTCCCTCTGCCTCCTGGCAAATGTATACCCTGTCAGAGAGGAAAGAGAAAAGCTGTGAGCAAAACCACTACATTAATGAATTCTCTGGCTGGCTGGTTTTGCTGGTCTGGTATTTTCTCTGAGCTTTACGTCTTCAAACTTTTTTATTCTTCAGTGGCCTTTATCCAAGAAACAAGCCTTATGATTTGTCATAAGCCTTCCTTTAAATTGGGTGTTTTAACATTTTGTGGCTGTAGTGCAACGGTCCCTGAATTTGAATGAACATATTCTCTGATAATACATACAGTAGCTTCAGCACAACAAATATTGTTGGAACTATTTGTGACCACGTTTTGACTGTTTAGTCTAAAGTATAGCCAGACTGCTCTCTCAATTGTAGACATTGGTACCCTCTAAAGTCGTGAATCCAATACCAGTGCTGTTGTATGGCTCGCAGCCAGAATGTGTTCAAGGTCAGGTTCTCTCTCTACTTTGGTCAAGAAGGTAAATAAATCACTATTCTATTGCTGTAGAAGCTATATAATCATGTCATCTATCTAGTCTAGAAGCCAGGCTGGTTAGTGATCAGTAGGGAACGATGTAACAACTGCTGCTGTGTTCTTAGAATATAATTGCAGAGATTTTACAGTCACAGTGGGAGAGCCAGAATAGCTCATTTGCTCTTGAGGGATGCCTATCACCTGATCACATGACATGTTCCATTGCAGCTGCTGGCTGAGGGTGGATAACCACTTCATTTGGAGCTTCATAGGACCTGTCACCTTCATTATCATGGTAAGCCACATTATTCTGTGCTGGAATGTAAATCAGGTATGTGTGTATAATACATACAGTATGCTTGTGTGTGCCTATGTCTGTGCCTCTGTGAAGAGGGAAAAAATACATGTATTTTTCTGTTATTTTGTCCTCGTCTGGTCACTTAGCTCTTGCTTTCGCTGATCAATTTGCATGAAAGGAAAGTGGTCCATTATAGCTGACCTGAGGACATCAGCAGTCATTCAGTTGTAAAATCCTATGAAATCAGTCTAGTCAAGTGCGCAGCAGTCAACAGCTTAGCTGTTTTTTTGGTGGAAAGATTTGCGCATTGTGGAAGCATTCCTCCCTTTCACACACTCAGTCGTCTGAGGAGGAGGAGGATAAGAGACAATCTCAGGCATGAAGGTCATTTGCTCAGTTAGACAAAGAGGGGGTTGAGGGAGATGGGGAGAGACGGATGAACATGGAAGTAATGAGTGGGTGGGCCAGACAGCCATTACCCACAACCCCCTGGCCCTGCCGAGGATCATGACGTATCTCCAGCCAATCCCATTGCACAGACATCTCCGTCTTCACCTCTTAATATTTCATGCAGGCTGCATGTAGTACACACACACACACACCCACACACACACACTCATACATAATAATAATAATAATTATTATAATTTGGTGGGTACTTATATTTGTCCTATTTCACAAATGTACAAGTGTGTATTATACGTATGTGTGATTTAGAAATGTTTTTTTGTTGCATATCCTAAGTCCCCCTGAGACACGCACACACCACGCACACACATGCACATACATTTGTATTATTCACACAGAAGACACGCGTGTAAATGTGTACACACTGTGTTTATACAGCACATACTGTGCATAGATACCCAAGAAAAAGGGCATTCTGGTTTCGTTGGTGTGTTTTGAGGAGATGAGAGGGTCCATAGAGAGTGGGGTGCGGGGGGAATCAAGGACATGTACAGTTCGGTGCCTGCCTCTATGCCTGTCTACCTGCCTGCCTGTCTCATCAGATCTGTGTCGACACTGGCGGCTGTGTTCAATGCATCTCCAACCACTCAACTCATGCAGACCTAAATCGGCCCTAGTGGCTAGGAGACAAAACTCCACATCACTCTAATCTCTGATCTAAAACCCCTTATTCGTCTTTTCTCCTCTCCCTCTCTCCAGCTCTGCCCTCTTTCTGTCTTTCTCCCCACGTTATTGGTTTATTCTTTTAAAGGGATGTACATAGCTACGGCTCTACTGGTCTGGTGTATTCATGTTTTAGAATGAGATCATATACTGAACAGCATTCATAAAATTCAGCCCACAAATATATTGTATTTAATAATCTTGGGACAGTATCTCTACTTGATCAGTATTGCTTTGTGTTCTCGCAAACCCAGGCAGTTTTTGTCATTTATTTTCTTTCATAAAGATTGGTCAGGTTTCTGAATAAATAGGCTGGGGGGCAGATTATGGTGGAGAAGATTTTAATAACTTAAAATGCAAGATATGTTTTCTTTTATAGAAGTATTAAAAAATATATATAATATTTACTGAATATTTACTGAATAGTTGTTTTTGGTGAGGTTTTAATGTGGTAGTGACTGAGCCAAATTGAAGAATCCCCTCCTTCCCCCCTGTGCTTACAGAAAAACATCCTGAAGTCATGGAAACCTTTCTGAATGTATAGCTTAATATATGGAGCTGTTTTTCCTGGCTCTAGATGTTTGTTTCTAAAATATGGCGCTCTGCTGTGTCTTTTCCACTCACTCTGTTCTGTTCTGGCTGTATTAGATTTACATTCCCTTGCTCTCTCTCTCGATGAGGAATAACACTCTGCGTTTGGCACCAGCCTGCTTGGCTAAGTAAGGCCTGAGGTTGTGCGTTACATCAGCCATAGGAGTGGGAAGGGGCATCCAAGGCCTTTATCATAGCCAGTGTTAGTGGAGCTGGAGACCAAAGCTAAGCTACAACCTCTCTATTCTCACTTTTGGGAGACCATTTGCACTGAAGCTTGAAAGTTTCATATCCCTCTTGGTAAGACATACTAATGTTGACGCTTGCGATTGTGCCAAAATCACTACAGGTTAAGCATTATTACCATGTATGATCTCAGAAAGTCACTAAAACATGCAGGTGACATGCTGCTAGTTACATTTAGGAGAGTTTGTCCTGTTTCTGTGTGCAAACCACCCTTTTTGTGGTTTAAGTTGCCACGAAATGTAGGCGACATGCATTGCTGCTCATACCATGAAATGAATGCCATGCTCCAGCGTGATGTGTTAACCTTGCTGTGCCTCTGTTTTGACAGCTCAATCTCATCATCCTGATTGTGACCATGTACAAGATGGTGAAGCACTCCACTTCCATGAAACCCGACTCGACCCGGCTGGGCGGTATCAGGTGAGAGGGGGCTGCTATTACTGGTTTTGTCAGCTCAGTTTTAAGTGAGAAAACAAAGCATTGTGTGCTGTCCTATTCCCTGCCACGGTCTTGCTTGTGCAATATTAAAGGGTGCATTTGGTGTATTTGACCTTAGAATTACATCTCAATAACCCATAACTGGAGTGGACAAATATATTTATTTCAAATTTTATTTCTATCCTCAGGTGTTGCCTTTTTGGTTGGTGTTTATGAGGGCAGTGTTTGCATTATACATGGGTTATTATGCCTCCTTTATTTATTCATAACTGCATCCCTGACCTCTTGTATTAGTTGCTCCTTTGTTGGCATCATTTACAGGTTCCTCTGGAACCCTAGCTCAAAGATATTAGATTTAAGGGGAGGAACTGGAGATGTGCACACATCTTTATTCAAACATCCAGTCAATCCAGCAAATTGGATAAAAGAAAAGTCCCTAGCCAGTTTCTGTCCTAAAATACTTGTCAAACAATAACTAAAAGACAGAATGACATATGCCATTCCTGTTTTGTAATTGGTCTTTTTGTAATAAAATCTATGTTTTTCGGCTTTTAATACCAGCAAAATCATTTTAATGACTTCTGAACCGTGCTATCCTGGTTAAAAATGTAATTTAAAGAGAGCCTGCTTTCAAAGATAGCGGCCAATTCAAACAAATAATTTATTCAAAAGACCCAAAACTCATTAACCATAATTAATTGGAGTCCACCTCTAATCAACCACTTATTTACTCCTACAAAGTTAGATTTGGTAACTTTCCACAAGACTTTGAAATTATCAGTTAGTTGAGTTTTAACAAGCATAAAGAGCCAGCGTACCCACGCACAAAATATATCAAATAATGAACAATGTACACAATGTGACACAAAAGCACGACTAATCTGTAGCATCTCTCCCTCTTTAGGTTTGTATTCTCTTCTGTCCTTGGATTTCTCTGAAACTCAGACGTGGTACAATGGTGGCTGGTTTTCACTGGTCTCCTCTTTTCTCATCCAGGGTTGCTCACTCTTTTTCTCCTGTGTATCGATGGCTCCTTTTGCCAGCCGTCGCCATTGGAACTTACCATTGGTTATATGATTTCCTCTAGGCTTTCCTGAAAACTCCTGTGAGAAACCTGCTGTGTTTGCTGTTTCTGTTTAGCCAGCCAACCCTGAGGAAGGCCAAGGAAACTAGTTAGTTAGACTCTGTCAGAGTTGGACTGTATATACTGTATAAACACGTCCAGAAGGAGAAATAGAGAGGGATGGTAACACAGCCCCCTTCTTTCCCCACATAACGAATCCGTAGGAACCGAACAGAGAGCAGTTACTTAGGTTATTATTAATGATTGTGAACAATATTGTGTGTGTGTTTCAGATCCTGGGTGCTTGGAGCATTTGCCCTGCTCTTTCTCCTGGGTCTGACCTGGTCGTTTGGCCTGTTCTTCCTCAACGAATCCTCCGTCGTCATGGCGTACCTCTTCACCATCTTCAACACTCTGCAAGGGATGTTCATCTTTATCTTCCACTGTCTCCTCCAGAAAAAGGTAAGGATTTAATACATACAGTGCCTTTGGGAAAGTATTCAGACCCCTTGACCTTTTCCACATTTTGTTACGTTACAGCCTTATTCTAAAATGTATTAAATTGTTTTTCCCCTCATCAATCTACACACAATACCCCTTGATGACAAAGTGAAAACAGGTTTTTAGAAATTGTTGCTAATTTATTAAAAATAAAAAACGGAAATATCACATTTACATAAGTATTCAGACCATTTACTCAGTACTTTTTGAAGCACCTTTGGCAGGGATTACAGCATCGAGTGTTCTTGGGTATGAAGCTACAAGCTTGGCACACCTGTATTTGGTGAGTTTCTCCCATTGTTCTCTGCAGATCCTCTCAAGCTCTGTCAGGTTGGATGGGGAGCGTTGCTGCACAGCTATTTTCAGGTCTCTCCAGAGATGTTTGATCGGGTTCAAGTCCGGGCTCTGGCTGGGCCACTCAAGGACATTCAGAGACTTGTCCCGAAGCCACTCCTGCGTTGTCTTGGCTGTGTGCTTAGGGTTGTTGTCCTGTTGGAAGGTGAACCTTCACCCCAGTCTGAGGTCCTGAGCGCTCAGGAGCAGGTTTTCATCAAGGATCTCTCTGTACTTTGCTCCGTTCATCTTTGCCTCGATCCTGACTAGTCTCCCAGTCCCTGCCACTGAAAACACCTCCACAGCATGATGCTGCCCCCACCATGCTTCACCGTAGGGATGGTGCCAGGTTTCCTCCAGACGTGACGCTTGGCAAATAGTTCAATCTTGGTTTCATCAGACCAGAGAATCTTGTTTCTCATGGTCTGAGAGGCTTTAGGTGCCTTTTGACAAACTCCAAGTGGGCTGTCATGTGCCTTTTACTGAGGAGTGGCTTCCGTCTGGCCACTCTACCATAAAGGCCTGATTGGTGGAGTGCTGCAGAAATGGTTGTCCTTCTGGAAGGTTCTCCGATCTCCACAGAGGATTTCTAGAGCTCTGTCAGAGTGACCATCGGGTTCTTGGTCACCTCCCTGACCAAGGCCCTTCTCCCCCGATTGCTCAGTTTGGCCGGGTGGCCAGCTCTAGGAAGAGTCTTGGTGGTTTCAAACTTCTTCCATTTAAGAGTCCACTGTGTTCTTGGGGACCTTCAATGCTGCAGAAATGTTTTGGTACCCTTTCCCAGGTCTGTTCCTTGACACAATCCTGTCTCTGAGCTCTACGGACAATTCCTTCGACCTCATGGCTTGGTTTGTGCTCTGACATGCACTGTCGACTGTGGGACCTTATATAGACAGGTGTGTGCCTTTCCAAATCATGCCCAATCAATTGAATTTACCACAGGTGGACTCCAATCAAGTTGTAGAAACATCTCAAGGATGATCAATGGAAACAGGATGCACATGAGCTCAATTTCGAGTCTCATAGCAAAGGGTCAGAATACTTATGTAAATAAGGTATTTCAGTTTATTTTAATTTTTTATAAATAAACCTTTCACTTTGTCATTATGGGGTATTGTAATATTTAATCCATTTTAGAATAAGGCTGTAACGTAACAAAATGTGGAAAAAGTCAAGGGGTCTGAATACTTTCCGAAGGCACTGTATGACCTATATGAAGATAATGCTACAACATTTTGTACATCAATGTTTGAATATAAGTTTTCCTCACCAGAGTTGGGAAATAACCTTCTTTTTAATGTCTAGTTTCCCAAAGAAATAAGATAACAAAGTATCTATGTATACTTAAGTCCAATGGAAAATATATACTTTTCAGTCCACTGTCTGCTGTCTCTTGACATTTAAGACTATCTCTGATATAAGCAACACCTCTGTGTCATATTTGTCCCCCTACAAAATCCCCCTCCTTATGGTATTTTAATGTGTCATCGTGGCAGACGTGATAGGCCTATCTCCAGAGACACGCCATTTGAACTGCTGCTGTCGGCTGGTGGCATTTGATACAGATATTTATTTTGTGGCTTTTTGTTACAGGATGATAGAAGAAGCTTCCTCTCTTTTTCTCTCTGGAGGAGCCTGTCACTGTTGCAGTGTCTCTGAGTTCACTGTGTCTCTGTTGCTCTGCCCTGATCTTGTGCCCGCTGCAGGTCCGTAAAGAGTACAGCAAATGTTTCCATCAGTCCCAGTGCTGCGGAGGTCTGCCTTCTGAAGGGTCCCACAGCTCGGCCAAGACAACCACATCCCGATCCACCGCACGCTACTCCTCCGCCACACAGGTACAGTACATACTAGGTACAGTACAGCAGCGGGAAGTTGGATTATATATACCTTTTTTTCTGTCTTTTCTTTCTTTGGAGAGGGAAAGGAGAGTTCTTTTACTATTTTTCTTTCTCCTGTTGCATGCTAGTACGTCGAGCATTGAGAGCAGTACTGTAGTATACTTCAGTATAGCTTTATAGTCCCAGGGGGAGATTGGATTGCGGCATAGAAAGGAAAGGCGAGTTGTGGTCTTTTTTTTCTGTTGCATGCTAACATAGAGGGAAGAGTGTTAGTGTTGAGTTGAAGGTGGACCTTCCAATCTCCTTGTGTGAAATAGCCTTCTTTCTTTCCCCTGAGAGTGAAAGGGAGTGCCTACGCCTTGTTCTTCTGTTGCATGCTAGCATGTAGAGGGAACAGGGAACGACATCAGTGTTGAAGGTTATTCCAATACATTGTGGCTGCGTCTGAAATGGCACTCTATTCCATATATAGTGCACTACTTTTGTAAAAGATAAAGTGAATAGTGTGTGTCGTTTCGGATGCATCCATTTTGTTTCCTGCGTCAATCTTGGAGGTGGTTCTTGTAATCCATTGTTTTTGCTTGCTGCCTCCACAGAGTTATGCTCTTTTTCTTGTGTTCTTTTTCTGTTGCATGTAAAGGGAACTGACATCGGTGTTAAAAGTTATTGTAATACAATGTGTGTGTTGTTTACCTCCTCCACAGAGTCGTATCAGGAGGATGTGGAACGACACGGTGAGGAAGCAGTCCGAATCCTCCTTCATCTCCGGAGACATCAACAGCACCTCCACCCTGAACCAGGGTAAGACACTGTCCCCTCTGTCCACACTGTCTCTATTTACACATGCTGTATTCTCTCTGTTATGGGACCTTGAATAGACAAGTGCCTGAATAAATCTGGCAGATGCAGATTTAATTTTTATGTATTTAACTTTTATTTAACCAGTCAATGATGATGATCTACATTCAAAGAGGCAGCTTTTTGAAAAAAGGATAGTTGTTTACTCAATATGGTCTAGTGCTTGTGTCTGTCCTGATTCAAATAAACCATGAAAAACAAATCAAATAAATACACGCAAAAAAAATGTTTTTAAATGAGTCAAAGTTCACGTCAACGTGTCTTTTGATGGTCGATCTGCACAGCTGCTACTTGTTGGATGGGAGAAGTATTACATAGCCATTTAGTCTGGTTTCAAGTGTTAGTGATGAGAAGCTGGTGTCTCTGCATGTGTGTTCAACTCTGGGAGACCTTGACTGGCTGGCTACAGGAGCTGTGCTGTCTGTGCACTGACTCATCCTCACCCTGGCCTGATCCTGATGAGGAGAGAGAGAGAGACTGGGAATAAATAGAGAGATATGGAGAGAAAGCGAGAGAGAGGGAGAGAGACGGGGGAGTGCGAGAGAGACGGGGAATGCAAGAGAGACGGGGAGTGCGAGAGAGATGGGGAGTGAGAGAGAGAGAGACGAGAGAGATTTAACACTACTCAGCTTAGAGTTTTTTTCAACTTCTATTCTCCTTATCAGTGTCTGCCCTCAGCATTAAGATAACTCCTAATCGCTCCTGATAAGAGATGAGATATGAGAGATTCGTTTTCAATGACTGGACATTGCTATTTTATATTTTTATACAATGGGTGGGTCTAATCCTGAATGCTGATTGGTTAAAAATACATTCCAGCAGGTGTCTATACTTATGGAATACTTATGTATTATGTATACTATATAAAATGGGAGCACAGTGATGTCAATAGATACCGATGTGTAGTCCCCACATCATCAGTGTGATTGTATTGACTATATTCTGTCTGCTGACTGCAGAGTGGATACTTAAAAGTACTTGTTTTATATGGCTACTGTAATCATACTGAATATTTTGACCATGTATGGCTAATCATACTGAATAATTTGACTCACACTTTATAACCTACTGTTGTGTTTATTTATTAGTCAAATATTTGTTTAACAGAGAAAGTATTTGGCAATGTTGTGAGTATTGTACAGGAGTGCTTGGCACTATCTGGTGGCAAAGCAAGTGGCTTTGTTTACAACAGACGGCCGACGCACTTGTTGCGGACGTTATTTATTGCTTGCTGTTCTGTGAAATTAAGTCTGGAGAATGCGGTGTGTAGACATTATTTAAACATCAACTACTCAACTAACCGGCACATCATATTTACTGAAGAAGCACACTGCTGCAACTCCTATACACATGTCACTTTTTCCTCAGGTCTCTTTTGCTCTTTTCTCCTTCTTCCCTTCTTTACTCTCCTGCCTCATCTTTCTATAATAATAATATGATAATATATAATATAATAGTCTTTCTCTTTTCTCTCTCTCTCTCTCACTGTTTCTTGCAGGATTGACTGACAACTACCTCCTAAGTAACACTCTCCTGCCTTTCTTTCTTTCCTCCCTCACTCTTTCCTTCTCTCTCACAGGCATGACTGGCAACTACCTCCTAACTAACCCTCTGCTCCGAGCCCACGACCCTAACAACCCCTATAACAACCTGCTGGCTGAGACGGTGGTGTGCAACACCCCCTCCCCTCCAGCCTTTCACTCACCAGGTGCACGGTGACCTCTAACCTTTCTATGTAGATCTGTGTTTGTCTGTGTCTGAAATGGCACCATATTCCCTATGTAGTGCATTACCTTGACTAATTTGACTCGACTGGTGCACTATATAGGGAATAGGGTGCCATTTGGACACACGTTTGTTTTGTTTTAGTGTGTGTTTGAAGCTAATTGAGATAGCAGTACTTTGTGGGGTTGTGGCCCCTACACAGCATGAAGTGTTGAGAAGCCTTACTCTACGTTTTAGAGTTGTCCTTTCTCTCTCTCTCTCTCTCTCTCTCTCTCTCTCTCTCATTACCACTTCTCTTTATTTAATCTTTATTTAGCTAGTATGAAAGCTGTGCTTTCTAACACAGCATGAGATAAGGTTGTGAATGGTCAGTGCTATCTTATCTAGACTACTCCAACATTCATTCATAGGAAATCAAGATTAATTTATTCTGAGTTTATATATTATATCCTATTATTTACCATTCTCCTCCTTCACCCGTCAATTATACCTTTTAGAGCAGGTTCAATAGCATTTTTTTTTTTTCTTGACTACAAACCTGAATCCCCATTTATTTGAATGCTGTCATTGTCTGTGTAGCGTGACCCAGATACCCTCTCTGTCAGACTAAAAGGAGAAAGCCAAGCAAAGGAACAAAAAAACACAGGAGCACATGACGCAATGCAGGCAGAATTATACCCCTCAGATATGCAGAGGCATTTGATGATGAAAGAGCAGAGGATGGAAGGAAAGGAAGCAGTGCCAGGATGAATGTGTGGAGGGAGGGAGGGGGGGAAGAAGGATACAGGAGAACATACAGAAACTGCAGTCGCTCGCTCTGATTTGGCAGGTCTCCAAGTTTGCTCGCTTCACAATGAGAACACTGAGAACACTTTTAAGTCAAATTTTCTGCCTTTTGTTCTGGAAGAGGTTGGAAAGAGTTCGGAACCTAACATAAACCGATTGTCACAGAAATCAAAGACATTTCATGATATCATTACGATTTAATTACAATCATGATACCAATGAAATACCAGCATGATCAAAACACCACAAATGTAAGTACAATCTACAAATACCCCTGCTATATAGCAAGCAAACAATGCTTTCATCATAGGGTAGTTACAGTATAAGCTAACTTATTTTAGTTAAGTGGCGGTGATAAATGAAGGGACAGTCAAATTAACAGGTTATTGTAATGCATCACTGTCATCATCCCTTAACCTGCCGAGACACATCATCAGTCAGTCAGTCCTCCCTACAGGCAGATTAGTCATGTGGAAATACATGAGACACACACAGCCATGAGGGACATACTCCGCATACCTGCATCCTCAAACATTACAGATACTATCGTTAACGACTCACAGTTGAAGAACATGAAAGCACTCAAACATTATTAATAACTAATTGAAGAACATGAAAAGTTGAAGACAACCATGTCTCTGTCACTAACAAATAGTCATGGGTGATAACTCTACAATTAACTCAAAGAAAAGGCACCATGGGAAATATGCAAATGAGGCTTTACACAAGAGATCATCAACAAGATTCACCCGCAGGCTGATTTTTTTCTTGAGCGAATGGTCAGGGGACCGGAACATAATTACAAGTAGTTTGTAGAATGCAAATTGACCGCAAGAAGCTCAAACATACACTACCGGTCAAAAGTTTTAGAACACCTACTCATTCAAAGGTTTTTCTTTATTTTTACTATTTTCTACATTTTAGAATGACAGTGAAGACATCAAAACTATGAAATAACACATATGGAATCATGTAGTAACCAAAAAAGTGTTAAACAAATCAAAATATAGGTTATATTTGAGGTTCTTCAAATAGCCACCCTTTGCCTTGATGACAGCTTTGCACACTCTTGGCATTCTCTCAACCAACTTCACCTGGAATGCTTTTCCAACAGTCTTGAAGGAGTTCCCACATATGCTGAGCACTTGTTGGCTGCTTTTCCTTCACTCTGCAGTCAGACCCATCCCAAACCATCTCAATTTGGTTGAGGTCTGGGGATTGTGGAGGCCAGGTCATCTGATGCAGCACTCCATCACTCTCCTTCTTGGTAAAATAGCCCTTATACAGCCTGGAGGTGTGTTGGGTTATTATCCTGTTGAAAAACAAATGATAGTCCCACTAAGCCCAAATCAGATGGGATGGTGTATCGCTGCAGAATGCTGTGGTAGCCATGCTGGTTAAGTGTGCCTTGAATTCTAAATAAATCACAGACAGTGTCAACAGCAAAGCACCCCCACACCATAACACCTCCTCCTCCATGCTTTACGGTGGGAAATACACATGCAGAGATCATCCGTTCACCCACACCACGTCTCACAAAGACACGGCGGTTGGAACCAAAAATCTCCATTTTGTTCTCCAGACCAAAGGACAAATTTCCACCGGTGTAATGTCCATTGCTCGTGTTTCTTGGCCCAAGCAAGTCTCTTCTTCTTATTGGTGTCCTTTAGTAGTGGTTTCTTTGCAGCAAGTCGACCATGAAGGCCTGATTCACAGTCTCCTCTGAACAGTTGATGTTGAGATGTGTCTGTTACTTGAACTCTGTGAAGCATTTATTTGGGCTGCAATTTCTGAGGCTGGTAACTCTAATAAACTTATCCTCTGCAGCAGAGGTAACTCTGGGTCTTCCATTCATGTGGCGGTCCTCATGAGAGCCAGTTTCATCATAGCGCTTGATGTTTTTTGCGACTGCACTTGAAGAAACTTGAAATTCTTGAAATTCTCCGTAATGACTGACCTTCATGTCTTAAAGTAATGATGGACTGTCATTTCTCTTTGCTTATTTGAGCTGTTCTTGTCATAATATGGACTTGGTCTTGTACCAAATAGGGCTATCTTCTGTATACCCCCCCTACCTTGTCACAACACAACTGATTGGCTCAAATGCATTAAGGAAAGAAATTCCACAAATTAACTTTTAAGAATGCACACCTGTTAATTGAAATGCATTCCAGGTGACTACCTCATGAAGCTGGTTGAGAGAATGCCAAGAGTGTGCAAAGATGTCATCAATATATTTTGATTTGTTTAACACTTTTTTGGTTACTACATGATTCCATATGTGTTATTTCATAGTTTTGATGTCTTCACTATTATTCTACAATGTAGAAAATAGTAAAAATAAACTGCCAAATTTACAGTGTACCTGTCTGCATTAAAATGACTGCCCATGCATAAACAAATGCAAATCCTGCAATGGGGCTTTTCACGCTATTTCCATATTTTTTCCTTCTCTCTTTCTTTGCCCTCAAACTTCTCCCCCATCCCTCCCTCCGTGTTCCCTCCTTTCGCTCTTTTTCAAAATTCTTTGATGTCTGTTTTTACCAAAGAGGTAAAGAGATCCTTATCTCCACGGCAGTGTGTGTCATAGCCCAGCTCCAATTGTATTCCTCCATCTCCCAGTCAGGTCTATTCAGACTCATTTAACTGAAATCTAAAACTGAAATCTCCCCCTTTTTGTGGGGCTTGAAGCGAAGCAGTAACTAACCAACAAAATACGCCTTTGCCTTTTTTTCATCCTCTTCCTTCGCTCATTTAGGCTCATCCTCCTATTCCCTCTCTTCTTCATCTTCTGCCGACTTTCTTCTAGCCAGTCTTTGGTCTTCACAAGAGGTTATCAGTGTGATCTATTGTGTACAAAGTATTTATTTCCCATCTGGGAGAAGTAGATAGAAACCTGTTAAATCAAATCATCCTTCAATCACATTTTAAGCAGAGAGAGAGAAAGTAATGATATGATAGTGTACCTGCCATTTTACACTTTGTTAAGAGGCTGTGATTGCTTGCTGCTGAAACCCCTCCACCTGCCAAGTCCTGGATTCAGTTGTTCACAGGATTTGTTGTCTATAGCTTTCTCAAACGTTTTCAAATGATTTCAAATTAATCTGTAAATGAGAGTTGTACTCGAATAAATCAGTCACTTTTTGAGGGGACCCAAATCTGAGACAGACCGACTGAATCCAGGCCTGATTTTTGAAGCCTCCTCCTCCTTCCTCTTTTGTCTTATTTCAGTGATTTTCTATTTTTTTATGCCGCAATAAAAAAGCATATGTTTTACTTTTTTTTGCATATCAGCAGTTCTTAGGCCAGATAGCCTGAGCAGACACACTTGATGTGAGTGGTGGTAAAGTGAGTCGTTGCACCGTGCCTATGTGTCGTGGTGGTGTGGGGGGCTGTGCTTGTGTGGCTCCAGTGGTGAACGAGGTGGCCGTACGTCTTTGTTCGACATTTATTCCTTCTTTCTTTCTTTTAAGAGTGGAATGAATGTTTTATTCATTGTCACTTTTCTACCTCCACCTCCCCCACAGCTTTTTTTCTGTCATAACTTCTGTGTTATGATGTTATGTTGATCTTGCTATGTCGTTGTTACCTGGCTAGCTACATTATCTGTGTGTTGTTGCTGGATGTGGAATGTTTCTTTTTGGTTTTTCCTTTCTCATTTGTGAAATATTGTTCAGGATATCTTCTGTATTGTTTATGATAATGTTCAGACATGATGATGCTAAATGGAGACACATGATAGAAAACTATACAATTAAAGAGGTTCAAATTTGAAGTACAGTAAGCGTCAAAGTATTGGGACAGTGACAATAATGTATGGTAAATAATGTATTGTGTCAGTTTGGAGTCACTTTTATTGTAAATAAGAATATAATATTTTTGTATAATCTCGTCTACATTAATGTGGATGCTACCATGATTACGGATAGTCATTTACATTTACATTTTAGTCATTTAGCAGACGCTCTTATCCAGAGCGACTTACAGGAGCAATTAGGGTTAAGTGCCTTGCTCAAGGGCACATCGACAGATTTTTCACCTAGTCGACTTGGGGATTAGAACCAGCGACCTTTCGGTTACTGGCACAACGCTCTTAACCACTAAGCTACCTGCCGCCCATGAATTGTGAATAATGGTGAGAAAGTTAGATGCACAAATATCATACCCCCAAGACATGCAAACCTCTCACCATTACAATAACATGGGAGGTTAGCAGTTTTTTAGGGGTATGATATTTATGTCTCTGTAGCTTTCTCACTCATCATTATTCACGATTCTTTCAGGACTATCCGTAATCATGGTAGCATCCACATTAATGTAGAAGTGTTTAGAAACATATTCTATTCTTATTTACAATAAAAGTGACTCCAAAATGACACAATACATTATTTACCATACATTTCCATTGGGCACAAAGTAATCTGACACACAACCAAAACAAACAGCAAATGCATCCAACAAGTTTGTAGAGTCACAAGCTTGATGTAGGCATTATGTGCTAGGAATATGGGACCAAATACTAAACCTTTTACTACTTTAATACACTTACACATAATACACATAAGTGAATTTGTCCCAATACTTTTGGTCCCCTAAAATGGGGGGACAATGTACAAGAAGTGCTGTCATTTCTAAACGGTTCACCTGATATTAATGAAAATACCCTTAAATTAAAGCTGACAGTCTGCACTTTAACCTCATAGTCATTGTATAATTTCAAATTCAAAGTCCTGGAGTACAGAGTCAAAACCAATAAAAATGTCACTGTCCCAATACTTTTGGAACTCACTGTACTTAAACCTCTTTAATTGTATATTTTATATAAATATGATATAAATATATCAATGTAAAATATCCAGATAGCAAAGGTTGCAAACACTTAACAGTGAGGTGTCCTGACCAGTATCAAACTGTATTGTCTTGAGTTGTGATTTGATATTGATTCTTAACAGTGATATCTAATCCAGGTATTGTGCTTCTCGTTGCAGGGCAGCATTCTCTGACCCGCAGCAGGGACATCAGTGCCATGGACACCCTCCCCCTCAACGGAAACTTTAACAGCTACTCCCTGCGTGACCATGAAGACGACTATGAGGACATTGTGGGCGTGGTTGGGGGTGTGGTCCACGGCCCGGGGGACCTGGGGGGCCTCAGCCTGGATGACGCCGCCTTCGAGAAGATGATCATCTCTGAGCTGGTCCACAACAACCTGAGGCCCCGCGGGGCCCCCAAGGGCCACAACCCCCATAGCGATAGCAGGGAGAGGGACAAGGACCAGGCCCCTCCCCAGACCAGGGTGATTGTGGACAGGGATAGGGGTTGTGGGGGTGGAAGCGGCAGCGAAGATGATGCCATAGTGGTGGACCACGCTGAGGCTTCGTCCCCCCAGAGAGGTAGTATAGTCGGGGTAGTAGGAGGAGGAGTAGGTGGAGGTCACCCCACCCTGGAGTTGCTGCTGCACCCCCACCATAAGGAGGCATTAGAGGCCCCGCTCCTGCCCCAGAGGACTCATTCCCTGCTCTACAGCGCCCACAAGGCCCCCAGGAGGGCTGTGGAGGGCCCTGGGTGCCACGGCTCAGAGACAGTGGGGGCGACAGGGGACGGGGATTCCCAGTCACCCAACAACAACAGGGACTCCCTGTACACCAGCATGCCCAACCTGAGAGACTCTCCCTCAGCCTCCCCCTCAGCCTCAGCCTCACCCTACCCCCCCGATGAAGATGATGACCTGTCCCCTTCCCCCAGGACCGAGGGGGAGGACCTGTACCATAAAAGCATGCCTGAGCTGGGCGACGGGCCCCAGCCCCTGTCCTACTACCACATAAACCGGGGCACCAGCAATGGGTGCATCGTACCCCCCAGCGCTGAGGACTGTGTACCCGAGGGAGAGGGCCCCCAGGACAGACAGATGCAGCTCATTACTAGCCTCTGAGCAGGTGGATGGAGGAAGGAGAGGAACCACCTCTGGTGTTTTTGCACAGGTTTGAACATATGTATGTGTGTGGGCTTTGGTTGATGTCAAGACTATTGCCAGCCCTCACCGGTCCTCCCAGTCCTCCACCTCTGCACTCCTAATGACCCATCAGAGCAGGAAGTGAAATGTTTGTGGGTGGTAGGGAGGAAGGAGATGGATTACTTTTTCACACATAAACTCGGTCACACACACAAATATCCTCTGAAACCGTCTGTCTGTGGACTTGAACTGCTCTGCTCTGCTGTGGGACTACAGAGAGGTAAATGCACAGACCACTCCAAGTGTCAGAGAGAAGTCTGTCTGGCGCCATTCCTGTCCAGCCTGCATTTGTATTATATTGAAGAAGAAAAAAAACTAGGTTTAAAACTCCAGGTTTAGAACTTTTGGAACCCTGGTGAAGTGTTCCTGGAGGGGATTCCAGAATTAATGAGGATGAGTATCTGTTGGGTCCTGGACTCTAGAACGTTCTAGAGTCATTCCACTACACAGTGAGGACTGTCAAACAAAGAACCACTAATTCAGACTCAGGCCTTATATTTTCTCTATTGCACATTTAACTGTTGTCAGAGTAATAGCTAAAGAAAATATATTTTGCTGTACCACAAGTGTAAAAAAATAAATATGAAAAAATGTTATGGCAACCAATTATACAACATTTCAATGTTGAGAAGATTATTCTCAAAGCAGGTTGCTCAAATGTGTTTTTTCCTCTCACTTGACTCATTGTAGTATGTTTGAACAAAAAAATACAAAAATAATCTGAAAATCCCATATGAAACCATACTCACATCTCCGCTTGTGAAGTGCTTTTTGCTTTCATGAATTAAGAGTTTTGCCAGTAATATTTTGTGTTAACACCATGCCAATCACAGATTTGGCGTGAATTTGGTCGTTGTGTAATTTATTTTACTTGAAAAAATTGTCAGGTTTCAAAAATATTTACGTGTCAATGCGATATTTCAAGTTTTACAAGCATATTTCAGCGTTTGACACTAATTAATTTATTAACAGTTATTGAACATTTGACAAAGTAAAATGGTTGGGAAGTGTGTCTTGTTTCAGCACTGTTTAGGTTCATATCATTTATTTTGTAAGATCCCATTGTCAGCTGATATAAAAACTCTTGTTTGGTATCAAATAAATGTGAGATTTTTTCTTGTTTGCAAATGTCTGACTATTCTTAATTTCAACTCCAGACATGGCTCATGATGATAACTGCAAGCTTCTGTTTAGACCTGTAGCCATGGAGAGAAATGGCAAATAGATAGTTATCAGATTTATCCTGCTCAATAACTTTAATTCAAATATTATTGCCTAGTAAGGTCTTACAGCATGTAGGTAGGTCCAGGTTAAAACTGACCACCCAGTTATTGTTAGTAGACGACGTACGTCTGCTCAGTTCAGCATTTAACTGTGACATACACTTCATTAGACCATGTGAGATGCCAATTCTCTGTCAGACGTTGGAGGGAGCGAGGCCCGAGGCCAAGGCAGAGCAGAGTAGAGCAGAGCTGAGCTGCTAAGTCCACCAGGGCTCCCTGCCGCGGTGTTTGAATGTCAGCCTCTGCATTTACACAGAGCCATCCAGATCCAACAGGCCCGGGGCCGGGAGACACTGAACAGGTCTGTTATATTATATGGAAACTTGGCTTCACGTTCACTTATAAATCAGATGAAATGCAAAGCTGATGACCAGGACCATGCATACAGTAGTACAGTCAGGCAGTTCATTTGGACCATGTCTTGTCTATAAAGGCAGCTTTATCATAAACAGTTAAATCAGAGTGGTTCAAAATCAAATCCCCCTTTCTGACACTAACAACACAACAGGGTACAAGACGTGACGGTGTCATTTTTGTGTCTGAATCCCCCATCTATCTGTGTGTTCCCAGCTCAGGCAAAATAATGATGAATGAAAAATCTGTGCCTCCCTTCTCTCAAAAGGCTTTAGGGGTTGTTTTTTTGCATATATATTGGTTCATTATCTCTAAGTAATCTGTCTGATATATTAGCTTTCTCACCTTATCACCTTCAAGACAAGTGCTTTGTAATATCAACCAATATACTGGTGATCATGTTATTTTCCCATGTTGAGTGGGAGGAGGGCTTTTGAGGGGAGCATGGGTAATGCTGTAATATACACTTATGCACTACCAGGAGGGGGAGAGGTAGGGAGCAGCTCCATTCTCTATTGGGACACAGTGACCCTCAATGATGTCACCATTCACCCTCATAGCCATCAATCTTTCCAGCTTTCCAACCAGGTATTACCTTGGATTAGACTATGATACAGCATATCAGTGATGACACACTATTCGTGAAGCAAATGAGAAGTTGTCGAAGTTTGGTAGAGATGAAAGAACTTTACTAATCAACCCATCTTTAATCTATAATCAGACAATCCTGGAGCTTAGTTTCCACAGGGCCCGGTCGCAAAGGAAGGCGCAATAAGCCAGAGTCCGAACAGACATGGTGTTTTCATTTGGGTCCGTTTGATGTTGCTCCCGCTGGTGATTTGGACATTATTTCATGTCCATCTTCAAAAGACATCAAACAAGATGCTTCATTCAAACTCAGATCACAGACCCTTCATGGTGTGTGTGCATCCTAAACGTGATATAAATGAAATGAACATTCTGTCTATGCCAACATTTAAAAAAAATATTTTACCATTTCACCTTGGTCTTGCTGGGAGAAAAACACACACACACAAAGAAACGGTCATATTAGAATGAAAAAGGCGTTCTTGCGGACAAATGTTTATGTTAGTGAGGGATAGCAATCTTTAGCCAAAGCGGGAACTATGCATAATTACATTAGTGCAGACACAAAGCAGAAGGAGTATTATATTACCTCAGGGCCCCTGTAAATGCACAGCTTACATTCCTCTACATTTCACTCTGCAGCAAAAAGATAAATAACATCTGAATGTGGCTCTCTGCGTCATTCCCTCCCTGCCATCACTCTCCTACTACGCCACTGCGTTCTGCATGTGGTGTCTTCTACATTTATACAACCCAAAATGTAGGCTTCTTTGAATACAAATAATTTATACGTAACACAAACAGTAAAACACATGGACATTTAATTTGTTCTCATTTCTATTGTGGTTATGACTTCTATATGTATTATGGGTATTGCATTGTATTTGTAAGCCTTAATTGTATCTGATTGAACAAAAGAAAAATGCATAGTCTGGAGGAAACCCGCTGCTCCCAAGCTCAGTCTCAATGATTAAAGTAAACGTCATTAAGTAACAATAACCTTATTGAATCAATTCCAGCCTGTTTCTCTGCCTGGTAACCTAATAATAATGTTGAGTTATGTGAATATTATGTTGAGTCTTTGTGTTATTTAATGTTTCGCTAATGCATAGCTTATATCAAGTATCTTTTATTCATTTGAATTGTATTTTGCTGCTTCAAGAATACTGTGACCAAAGCTTGACCCTCTAAAATAGAGAGAGACAGAGGTACAGAGAAACAGAGACAGAGAGAGAAAAACATGAGAGAGAGAGAGAGAGAGAGAGGGTAGATAGAACAGGACTTCCACGCGGAAGCCTATTATAGGAGATTATGGTCATTGTGGCTTAGGTCTTAGGACATAGTACACAAGAGGCCCCCTCAAGTCCACAGATATAATTTTGAGTGAGTGTGTACCCAGCAAACCAAAATTAGTTCTGCGAAAGTTTCCAGAACATTCATTAGGTCGCGGCACATGTTCTCATTACACAAAAACTCTCCAGCCATATTGATGACTATAGAATGTTTGTATAAAGCATTCGCCTAATGTTGCAAGAACGTTCCTATAACACCCTAAAATAAACATTGTAGAATCATCCGCAAAACTGGCACATTTTTGTGTTTTGGGAACATATATTTTGTGATGATTCTAAAATGTTTATTTTAGGGTGCAAAAAACATTCACCTGATGTTACAAGAACGTTTCCAAAATACATTTTGTCTGTTCTTTAACGTCTACGGGATCGGTGTCCCTTGTACGGGACGGTTGAACTAACGTGCGCTAATGTGATAAACTGTCCAGGACATAGACATGTCTTATATGGGCAGAAAGCTTAATTTCTTGTTAATCTACAGTGGGGAGAACAAGTATTTGATACACTGCCGATTTTGCAGGTTTTCCTACTTACAAAGCATGTAGAGGTCTGTAATTTTTATCATAGGTACACTTCAACTGTGAGAGAAAGAATCTAAAAAAAAAAATCCAGAAAATCACATTGTATGATTTTTAAGTAATTAATTTGCATTTTATTGCATGACATATGTATTTGATATATCAGCAAAGCAGAACTTAATATTTGGTACAGAAACCTTTGTTTGCAATTACAGAGATCATACGTTTCCTGTAGGTCTTGACCAGGTTTGCACACACTGCAGCAGGGATTTTGGCCCACTCCTTCATACAGACCTTCTCCAGATCCTTCAGGTTTCGGGGCTGTCGCTGGGCAATACAGACTTTCAGCTCCCTCCAAAGATTTTCTATTGGGTTCAGGTCTGGAGACTGGCTAGGCCACTCCAGGACCTTGAGATGCTTCTTACGGAGCCACTCCTTAGTTGCCCTGGCTGTGTGTTTCGGGTCGTTGTCATGCTGGAAGACCCAGCCACGACCCATCTTCAATGCTCTTACTGAGGGAAGGAGGTTGTTGGCCAAGATCTCGCGATACATGGCCCCATCCATCCTCCCCTCAATACGGTGCAGTCGTCCAGTCCCCTTTGCAGAAAAGCATCCCCAAAGAATGATGTTTCCACCTCCATGCTTCACGGATGGGATGGTGTTCTTGGGGTTGTACTCATCCTTCTTCTTCCTCCAAACACGGCGAGTGGAGTTTAGACCAAAAAGCCCATCCCAGCCTTGTGCAGGTCTACAATTTTATCCCTGATGTCCTTATACAGCTCTCTGGTCTTGGCCATTGTGGAGAGGTTGGAGTCTGTTTG